TGATGACCACCAAGAATCTCGTCTTCCGTTGATCCCTGAATAGTATATACCTAGACTAAGAGTCTTAAGACACAGCGTGAATTATAGGAAGCACAGTCTGTGATCCTAGGTGGTGATGGCCGCTGAAGGTGTGAAGACCAGTAGTTGACCTTGTTCTGGGCCATGCTCAATGCAGATAGCATTTGTACGGTGGCTATACCCTGTCTTATCTGACGCTGGTGGTATGGTGTCTCACTTAGAAAGGAGCGTCGATCAGTAAATTAGTCATTATTGTGTGAAAGGAGTCAGTCGATTGAGCAGTCGGTAACATCGCCTTTCAGCATCCTGAGACTGCAGCGAATATGTAGTCATTCTGAGAAGTAGTCTCACTAGCATATACTGCTCCGAGGGTATGGCCAGGATTCATTCATCCTGAACAACAATTCAACCATTCAATATCGTTTAAGGCCGGTGGCGTTGGTAGTATGTCCCATACTGAATCCAGAACACATGGAAGGTCCAAGCTCAATAAGCTAACCCGAGGTCTAAATCAAAGAAGTGTTGTCTGCCAGCTCTAAAAGAGCATGATAGCTAGTAGTTGGAGAAGAAGTAAGCTGCCGTGATTGAAGTGAAAGTGAAAGACGAATGAAAGAGATGAAAGGCATGTATAGAATCGAGGATGGCTTCGGTGGAGCTCCGCCGACGGAACCTCCGGGCGGTGTGGAGGTAGACTTCATGTCGGCCTCAGTTTGCGACCAGTGGAGTTTCCTGTCTGCCCGTCTTCGTTCCAGTTTATGACCCCTGAGTTGCCTATTGCAACTTATTGAAGCATAAGTTGAAGCACCTCTTATTTTCTCAAACCATACAGGTCCTGTTGCACGTCTGTCATTGTTCAGTTTCCCCCTCGCTGGAGATCGCCATTGCGCAACAACCCTTCTCGCGATTCGCCGAAGTTTGTCTTCAACAGCACATTCGACCATCATGGCCTCCATGGACATTGATATGGACCTTGATCTCGGGCCTCTCCCCGAAGATGAGCACATCGATATCGTAAGTCAAGTCGCGCTCGTTAATTAGTAGCCATTGCGAATGCCACACCGCCTAACACTCTTTCGTGTTGCCAGGACCCAACAGCCGCAACAGCTACCACCAACGAAGCCGTCGATGTACTTTCTTCAGACGGACAGTACGAGAAGGTTCACATACGCGGTGTTGACGAATTGACAACCGACGATATTAAGAGATTCGCAAGCGAGAACTTCTCTATTGAGGAACCAAGCCGTGTCGAATGGATCGATGACACCTCCGCGAACCTCTTGTACTCATCGCCAGAGGTCGGCCTCCAGGCATTGGCGGCACTTACACAACCTAATGACGAGGAGGATGTGACTCAATACCCCGCTCTACGTCTACGGTCGGCCAAGCTCCTCGCCTCGCACCCTGATTCCGTGCTCCAGGTCAGATCAGCTGTCATAACGGATCGGAAGAAGCCACGCGCGCACGAAGCCAGTCGGTTCTATCTCATGCATCCTGAGCATGATCCCAGGGAGCGCCTCCGACGCGAGTTTGCGGACAGACGTCAGCACGGCGGTGGTGACAGCAGCGATGGCGACTACAGACGAAGGAGATTCGATGGTCGGGAACTGCGGCGGCGGAGGGACCGCGACGCTGACGACAATTTCAGCGTCAACATGTATGATGACACGCGGGCAGTGAGCGCCGACCGCTCCGAACCATCTCGCGGACGTGGCAGGCGAGGGCCAAGGGATCTGTTTCCCGAGGATGAAGGAGGCTCTTCGGGTCGTCTACGCAACCGCAGTGCTTCACCGGGTCGTGATACATTGATGGAAGGGGGATACGTCGACACAGATCGCCCCAGCTCCCGCCGGCAGTTTCGTGAGCGCTCGCCCCCGCCCAGTCGTCGCAATGAAGGCCGGGAGCTCTTCCCGTCCTCCAAGGCCGGCGACAGCGACTCGAACACGCGCGAGCTTTTTCCGCACAAGACGGTCAAAGAACTCTTCCCCAGCAAGCACAGCAACCATCGCCGATCCGATGCGATAGATGCTGCGGACGAGACAGCTGATCTTTTCGCTCGGCGGATTTCTGTACCGTTCGTCGATGGAGCACAGGACATACAGCCGCAACGAAAGAACAAGAACGTTGAGCTTTTCCCTAGCGACTCAGATTCGAGCGGGCTCAACATCCGTGGAGCTGCAGGTCAAGGTCGGGATGATCAAGGAATGTCTGTTCGTGGTGCAGCAAGCGGTATCTCAATCAAGGGACGGGGGGCGTCTGTTCGAGAGCTTTTCCCATCCAAGTTCAATTCCAATGCCGGCAAGGAGTTGTTTTCGGAGAAGATCGAAGGACGGGGAGGTCCTCGACGGAGAGCGGAGGACATGTTCAGCTGAGGCATTCTGCATTCTATGTTAGAAAATACCCCTGGAAGGAAAGGCTTTTTTTTGCATTTTCGTTTTGTAATATTCTTATCATTTAGTCTCTTATGATGCCTTGGGATGGTGTTTCGCGATTCGCACTTCCCTCACAATGACAAATCCCATCTTTGGAAGCTCGATATTATACCCATCTCTGAGATATAAATAATCTGATGAAGTTACTGATGATATGACTTCTTCAACCCTTCCAAAAAAAGCACGAAGACGTTTCAAACCGATACGGAGCTCGATGGTTGTTGGAAAAGGGTCTAGCCGTTGGAGCGGACTTATGTCAGAAATATATTTCCCCCTCCCCCCCCCCCAACTGCCTGACCTATCCCCGCATTTCACAAACATAACAAAAAAAACAATGCCTTTGGAAGCGCAAAGTTCATCACTGGCGAGCGACCTTGTGGCTCGCTTTCTGCGCGCACACAACTACACAGAGACCCTCGATGCCTTCCTCCGCGAAGCGGGATTGCCAGCCAATGCGGGACAAATCTGCGGAAAGAACGAGCAGGACTCCTGGACCATCGAGAGCGTGCTCGACGAGAAACGAGCGTTTGATAAGAGCGTGAGCTTTGAGCGGTACAACGAGAGCGACCAGGGAAAGGATTTCTGGAGTGTGCCTGGTATATGTCACCCTCATCTTTAAACCGCTGGAGTCAAGCGAACAGAATCACTAATATATGGTATATAAAGCCCCGGCCAACCCCACGATTATTGAGACGCCAACCGCATCCAATCTGCTATCCTGCTCTGTGGAGCACTGGCAACACGACGACAGGGAAGGGCAGTCCGACGGACCCATCCTGGTGGCCACCGGAGCAGACAAACAGCTCCATGTGTTCCAAGCCTCCGCCGGCAACGACCTCGTGCGGTCCTTCTCCGGCACGTCGGAGTCGCCGATCTTGTCCTACACGCCGATCCGAGAAGGCCAGTTCCTGCTCCTGACCAGCATGTCCGGCCATCTCCTTCTCCAGCGTGGAGCCAGCGTCGTCGAGCGCCGGAAAGACCATGCCAAATACGCGGTCAAGGTGGTCGCGCACGAGGCAGACGACAAGACCGTGTGGGTTGCAACCGCGGGCTGGGACTCGAAGGTCTTCCTCTATCAGCTGAGCGGCGGCAACAGCAGCCACAGCAGCCTTGCAGCAGTCGACGAGCACACCCCAGTAACCATCGGCGAGCCCGTGGCGCAGATCTCCCTGCAAACGAACCCGGAATCCATCCTCTTCGTCCGCCACGTCGACACGAAGGAACTTCTTCTCCTCGTCTCCAGACGGGACTCGACGTATATCTACTACTACCGCGTAGAAGGGTCACGGGCAGCACCCACCGCTGCAGAAACAACCCACCCTCAGCAGCAACAGCAGGCCGAGTGTGTCCTGCTCGGGAGACAGAACCTGGCCCCGCACTCGAACGCCTGGGTGGCGTTCTCCCCCTCGTGCATGGCCCTCAGCCCCCATGACGCGGGCCTTCTTGCGGTTGCAACGTCCACGCTCCCTCACATGAAGGTCATGATTGTGCGGCTGCTGTTTCCGTCGCAGGGGACGCTGGGCGGGAGCGGTGAGGATGACGGTGATGATGGCGTGGGTGCGAGGGAGCCGGTGACGCAGGCTGCGCAGGCGCTTGCGGCGCTGTCGCTTCAGAACCGAGAGGATGCTGCCATCATGGTTCAGGCCAACACTTTCGCGCCGCAGACGGCGTACTCGACCCCGCAGGTGGTGTGGCGGCCGGATGGCTCGGGAGTCTGGGTCAATGGCGATGATGGGGCTATTCGCGGACTCGAGGCCAAGTCCGGTAAGATTGTTACTGTCTTGAAGAATGGCCATGAGGCAGGGTGTAAGATTAGAGCCATCTGGGCCGGCTGGGTTGAGCGTTCAGGCTCCGATGGCAGAGCTCTGAGGGAGGAATGGCTAGTTAGTGGAGGGTTCGATAAGAGGCTCGTGGTCTGGAAGACATAGTATACAGTCGGTGAACATTTATGTTTGTGGAGCATTCAATTGGCGCGTATCATGTGAGGATACATATATGAATAGATAAAATCATGTAACAAATTCAATAAATTGACTAGTCATAGCTCTACATCAGTCTACTGGGGATGTAGCCCTCCGTCCATGCACCCTTGACCCACGGAGAGCAAAAGGCCAAGGGTGATTGGAAGTCAGGAGGGCATGGGATCTTCTCTCGGCACGTTAAAATAATCCTTCAGCAAGCGCGCATGGAAAAATAAGCACGAAGCTGTACACACATATGCCTGATCTCCGACTCCGGTCTGCAAAAAGACCCGAACCGAATTTGTGGGGAAAACCCGTCACTCACCACGATGCGGGCAAGGACGGAAAAGAAAAATAGCAGAAGAGCACGACTCGCTCTTTCAAGTATACCCGCAGAGACCAGTCAATTTCCTTTCCTATGTGACAACCGTTTGCGAAAACATGTAGCCGGGTGGGGTGAGGACCAGTCTGGGCTAAATCCGACAAGACAAGACGATCCCACTCATGGTGCGCGGGGGCGTTTTGGCAAAAGAAAGATCAACCAACTCAAATCGCTTTCATTTCTTTTTAAAACGTTTCTATATTAGTTGATTTATGCGACCTCGCGCTTGCCCTCCTTGCGCTCCTTCTGTTCGAGTTGTTAGCCAGATCGTTCTTCTCGCAGATCGAAGGTCGGGAGGGTCGATGGAGGGTAGCGAATGTGAGGAGATCGAGGGACTCGCTGGGTTAACGTACCAGAGCCTTGGCGGTACCGTGAAGAGCGTGTCTGTGGTTGCGGCGGAACTTGGGGTCAACACCCTTGAGGGAGGGGTAACGGTTGGTCTTGGGCTTCTTGATACTGTGGAGCGGAAGATCGACAAGGTCAGCGATTTTTTTTTTTGCATTCATGTGTTTCCGGTGTTGTATCTCATGGTAATGGCGACGGTCAAGGCGCTGTTGTCGTGTTGGATGGAACAACGATGGTTGAGAGGTTCCTTCCACAATCGCGCCGTAATCCAACATAGCGACTCTCCCCACTCCATTCCATTCGTACATTCGTGTGGTTCTTTCAGGACTTGGTTCGATGGGGATTCAAGGGTACGCACCCGTTACGGTGAGCCTTCTGGCTGTTGTGGTGCTGAGACGCGTTCTTGGACTCTGTATGGGAGAATCATGTCAGTGAACTGATCACGGCTGCCGAATGGACCTGTAGAAACATGGCGAACGGTCCCAAGGGGGGGATGCTGATATTTGGGACGGTTGAATTCTTCGTCTTTTTTTTTTCCTGGGACAAAAATTCATATAGCAGGGGTGTACATACTCGCCATCTTGTCGGATTTGTCGCAACTGGGAGACGGTTGACGAGGAGTTGGCGGGTGAGGTTATCCTGAACTGAGCGGAAGGCCAGAGTCCCCAAGGCAGGTTCGGCTAGGGCTGGTTTTCAGTGTGGGATTTCGCTTACCGAGCACGGCTAGCGTGTCCGCCTCAGCTATCACTTCACTTGCTGCTGCTTCTACTGCCTGACTTCCCCCCCTATATTCCCCGTATAACCGTGTGGAGGGGAACAACATTAGTGCTATCTATGTTACATATTACACTTATTCTTGACGTCTTTCCATCTTCTGTATCAGATCCGTTAGAACTAGAGGTTGGGTTAGACGTTCATGGACCCTCGAAGTATGTTGTATGCGCCTGAGGCATCAACACCCGCAACCGATGACTAATCTTATCTTGTGAGATGAATCTGCGCATCCGTTGTAACATCCTGTTGGTTTGAATCCCAAACATTATTGATGTGAGGTTGCTGCTCTCTAAGTGAGTTGCGGGACAGAAGCAATGGTGGTCGACTGCTTCTCGATGCCTGATACAGCTGCCTGACCTGGCCTGCTATAGAAACATTGTTATGATAGCCGAGCCAAGGCTAAATACCATATCACGTGACTATAAAAGTATTATGGATCTCGAAGTATGCAATTGGGCCTGCGCTCATGTTGAAGGCTTCACGGACGGTTTTTAATTTAAACATGCACTTTCATAGTAGGATACCTGCCTTGCCAGAAGTTAATAAGAGGGCTCATCTGCGCCATCACAACTGGAATTTTGCTGGTACTCGTCTTTGACTCATGGCCCTAAATTGTGAAAGGCAGCGGATGACAGAACACACGTCTGTGCTGATCTTTGTGAGATAGATTGAAATTGAGTAATATCTACAGAGTGTAAGCCTTCCGTTACAGATTCTGAACAAATCCGATGACGGCGTAGAGGCTAGATACCGTGTCCACTAGTCAGTTCCAGGTTCGGAATACGTACTTGGTCAAATCATCGGGTTCGTTGGCGGTGTTGTCGCGCGGGCCCCCCACGTGACCGGAGGAGCCGCTAGGGAACAACCGGCATCCGACTTCGACCTTTGCAACTCTCAACCCAGGTTCAAGAGGGATATCACCACCACCACCTCCATTCCGTCCATTGCAAGATGAGCTCTCTCCGCTTCGCTCGCTCTGCTCTCAGGGCTCGTCCCTCTGCTTTCCGCGTTCCTCTTCAGCGCAGAGGTTACGCCGAGGCTGTTAACGACAAGATCAAGCTTTCCTTGACCCTGCCTCACCAGGTACGATTCCGATTCTGTTATGCAACCCGCTGCGTCCGCCATGATGTTCAGTGACTGACAAATTTGTTCTCAAACAGACTATATTCAAGTCCACTGGCGTGTATGTGGTCCCTTGACTCCCGTATCGACCGAGCAATTGGACGAATCTCTTTCAACCTTGACCGCCCCGTACTTACGAGTCTTTCCATCCAGTGTCCAGGTCAACATCCCTGCTGAGTCCGGAGAGATGGGTGTCCTCGCCAACCACGTCCCCTCCATCGAGCAGCTTAAGCCCGGTCTCGTCGAGGTTGTTGAGGAGGGTGGTGCCAGCAAGAAGTTCTTCCGTACGTCCGACCATTTCTATCGAGACCCGGCGCTTTACCTCCACTTCAAACAGACATTGCTTGGATCGCAGCTGCTACTTGGCTTTGAGCCTGGCTGACGTATTTGTCTTCTTGTATAGTTTCCGGTGGCTTCGCCGTTGTGCAGCCTGACTCCCAGTTGAGCATCAACGCCGTCGAGGGTTACCCCCTTGAGGACTTCAGCGCTGAGGTAGGTGTCCCTCCCACCCTGTTATGTCGCGTCGCCAGATGACTAATGTAGTCATTCGTCTACTTCAGGCTGTCCGCTCCCAGATCGCCGAGGCCCAGAAGATTGCCAGCGGCAGCGGCAGCGAGCAGGATATTGCCGAGGCTAAGATCGAGCTTGAGGTAGGTCGAGTCCGCTTCGTCATACTACGAGTTTGTCTGCTAACGCCATGACCAGGTTCTCGAGACCCTCCAAGCCCACCTTAAATAGATACCTGATGTACATATCCAGTCGCGACCTTCCACCTGACCTTGTAGAATTAAGCCAATTCTCTTGAAATGTTGTTTTGCATGAATTGAAGACAACGCCCACTGAAGGCTTGTGTGGCATTAGTTCCACTGACGATTATTGCTAACTAAGACTTTCTTGGACTCCTCGGTTTCCCGGCCGCTCCTTCCCAGTTTGGTTGTTGGATTTCAGTCCGAGTCTCCTGGAGCACTCCCTCGAACTTCCTTCCGTGCATTCCGCTGCTTCCCCTCTGTCTAGTTTCGTGCTAATCCTGAGTGCGCAGACTGCAACAGATATTTGCTGACGATGGCCCAGCAGTCAGTATTGTCTGCCTCAAGCTCCCTGGTCTACGAACCTGAGCTTGGCGACCACAAACAACCCAACATCCTGCCGCTTGTTTCCGACCTGCGGTCTATGAAATCCCCCCAGTCTTCCCTCGACCGCGTCGCTTCCAGCGGGCTGGAAAATCTCAAGGTGCCCCCAGCTTTGCAGAGGAATGATTCTCGTGATACCGATATATTCCAGATTTTCCCCATGGACGTTGACAACAATTCCTCCTCAGTCACGACATACAATGCAAAGGACATAGGGATTGAGCCTGAAATTCAACGTAGCTCATCAATCTCAATCCCCGGGTCTACAAAGGAGAATGAACTATGCGATCTCGAAAGCCGATCATCTCCGACCAAATTGACTTTGAACGAGCCCACCGTGAGCGCGATACATGGCGTTCTTATTGAACCTAGTCGTACAGAAAGTCTCAATCGCGAGCTCTCTCAAAAGCCCCCCAAGCCACCAAAGCCGGCTTTCCTCTCTGAGCTCGAAGTTCCTACTTTCACTGTATCCGAACATGTTCGCTCATCTGTGGCTGATCCCGGAACGACGCGCCAGAGAAGAAAGTCCCTTGGCACAGATCCTCAGATGCTAGCACCGCGGCAGGGTATAAGGGCTTCTTTGCGTCTTTTCAACCTATCGATGAGACGGTATCAGGGACATGACTCAATAATGCGAATAAAGAAACCCTGGACTAATCAGAGTTCCCCATCATCGCATGTCCTTCCGCGTCTAATATTACCATGTCCAGAGACGACAACCTACGTTGTGAAAGATAGCCCGGAAGTGCCATGGCCGGCACCGTGTCCGATTGTCGATGAGTCACTCTTCCGTCACAACCTCGGATTACCAGACAGCGCAGCAAGTAACAATATTCGGCTCCCTGCCCTTGACGGTCATCGTCAAACCCTGCCACATGGACGGCGTTCAATCGGTGATTTGCTGGAGACGTATATCCGCAAGCCCTTCCGAGCGATCTGGCTACAGACCAAGGAAAACGAGTGTGCTATTGTCAGCTTGGTAATTGGGCAGCGATCTGAGCGGGACTTGCTATCTCAATCAATGTCATGCTCGTTCCATGTGCACGTCACTCGGCCGATTGCGCAGACCTATGCTAAGAGCCGCGACGGTCTAAAAGATACTTTTGTTTCTCCGTACATGTCCACGGCACATCTTGTTAGGGTTGACGTCATTGTTCCACTTCTATTTCTGCGGATTGTGTCTTTCCTCAATGCCGCTTTCCTCCAGGTCATAGGCTCTGCAGCCCCATGTGCAGTGATTGGATTGCTCCACCTACTTCTGCATTTCGCTGTAGTATCTCTTACTTTTCTCTTGGAAAAGGTTGGTGTCAATGTATTCATTCAGAGCTGACCGCGTCTGAGAGATACAGTGGTGTGGAAGAGGGGCATTTGGTCGATCGACCGAGTCAAGCACAAAGGTTCAATCAAAACGAGGGTCTCAGTGAGGAAGGGCAATGAGAACGAGAGCTAGGGTTTTATTATTATTTCATTGTGAGATTGTTACATAGTTGATTCATGACTATTGAACCTATGACCATTAGATATCGAGACAAGGCTGCCGACGAATAGACTTTATGTCGAGAGCTATCTAATAGTCATGGGGAAGTCTAACCGAGAAAAGAATAGCAGATTCCGATTATCACATGCATCTGTTACCTCGTCGAACAATCTGTAGCTCAATGCATAAAACCTTAAGCATTCACCTGCAGTCGCCTTAGAATCCGAGCCAGCTGCAGTCCCGACAAGATTGAACTCCAACGGACGAAAAGAGCAAGCAAGTTAAGCTCATCACGAATCGACAACGAAATGCCATAGGGAGATCGCTAGTGAGAATTTATATGTGGCTAAGTGTTCTCAAAGGCAAATAAGTTTAAGGTAGTGCTTGCTAACTTCTCCGCCGACTCGGAGACATTGATGTTCGTTCGCCTCCTTGCGATGCCCAATCTTGACGAATTCGATTAGGCCCTTTGTCTCGTCTATTCATTGCATTCCTGATTGTTTCAGAGAGACCGGACCTTGACCCAATCCCATTTCCTTCGATGGGACGAGACCTATCATACTACCATCCTTATGACTACGATCTCTACAAGAGAAGCTTCCTCATTCCGCCTGCTGAGTGACTTTCGCAGTCAACTGACACGCCTAGATGATGAATCTTGATATCGATTGACGGTCGGTCCTCTGCGAGCTCTACCTGTGGTTGAGTCTTTGGTCTCGATTGTACTGTACCCGCAGGCTTACTGATTCTTTTAATGTCCCGGCAGCTAGCTAGTGCCAATTGGCCGACTTGCTCGCCCGAGGGGTGACTGCAATCACCCACCAAGCGACGCTACTGTTGTGTGCGTATTGACAACCAAAGGGACCTCTAGGAAGGGATCTATCGTTATAAAAAGACCCGTTTCTTCTGCTTGCTTACTCCGACCAGGGCCAGGCACCTCCTCTGACCACATCACATGCATTTATTACTGTAATCACAAAAGCAACAGCACCCGCCCAAGGTAAACCGGATGGAGTTGGGGGGTACTTCGCACACAAACAATTCATGTACACCAAATCATCAACATCAACATCACATCAACATCAACATCAACACGTCAACAAAAAGAGGTACTAAAATCGACAAACGGAGATATAATCCTACCACATAAGATCGTCAGTATCATATCGTTGCTATACAAAAAAAAAGGAAAGACAAGAAGAGAGAACGCAATATGTCTTTTTTTTCTCAGGTGAATTCAACGCCTTGCTGTCTCTCTTGACGTGCACGAGCTCGTTCCGCACGTCTACGACGTCGATTGCTCGCGTATTCGCTGGCCTCGGTCCCGGTAAATGTTCCCGTTCCGGGTGATGTGATGCTGGCTGCGCCGTAGGGGTGGCTGGAGGGTACAGGGGGCGGAGGCGGAGGAGGTAAGTTGGTCATGTTCGGAGGAGGCGCATAGTATGTCGCGGGGATGCTAGATGAGGGGGCCGCAGATGCTCCAACCCCAGCCGCCGCCGCCGCTGCGGCTTGCTCTCGGTGCATCTGCGCCTGCTGTTGACGTTCCAGCTCCTCGACCCGACGCCAGCGGTCGTAGTTGCCCCCTTCATTGCCGGATAAGGAGCTTGCACTGCCGGCTCGGCGGCGTGAGTTTCTTCTTTCCCGGCGCCTTGCCTCCCGGCTCGCGGCAGCTTCTTCGTCGGTCAATCTCCTGAGCGTGACGTGGCGGCCATCGTTGTGCATCTTCACTTTGACGGATACAGGGGGTGAGTCGACATGATCATCGCGGTGCCGGCTTCTGCTGCGATGCCGGTGGCCAGAGGAGGCAGCAGCAGCACCTAGAGTCGCCCCCGTTGCTACACCAGCTGCCAAGTCGCCCGAATCGTGTCGAGGAGGAGGTGGAGCTTCTGAGAGCAGATCGTGCGGGACCGGAGGAGCTGATGCCGGAGGCAGGTCTGAGCGCGCGCCATCAACCGCCCCTGACGCCATAGGCACAGCAGAGATAACAGATTCCCCATGAGGTGGTGGGCGGTGTGGTGGATGTGTCAACTCCGTCGAAATATCAGTGGCAGTGAACGACTCTGGACCTCGTCGCGGGTAATAGCCGTCTCCAGTGTACCGTCGCCCACTATTCGCGCGAGCTAACTTTTCATCTTCCATCTCGCGGCGACGCAAGTCCTCTACTCGGCGCTGCTCATCATTTGCTTTGCGACGGGAGAATAGACCCTTTAATGCAGCAAAGGCTCCTGCTCCTAGAACAGCATTTCGAAGCGTGTGTGACGGTCTGCGTGCAGGTTCGGATGACAGGTAGGTGCTGTCGTAGTAGTACGATGATCCTGGGCTTTGAGCGCGACTAGCTGGTCGACTCGGTGGTCGGCTTGGAGGCCGACTCGGGGGCCGATTGAGAGGCGTGCGCTGCGTTGGCTCCACTCGACTTAGGCTTTCCTCTGTTATACTGTCGCTGCGTCCATGAGCCCGGCTATAACGACCAGACTCCGTATCATCATCCCGATCGCGCCTTCGGTCGAGAAACTTCTTCACAAGCCATGCACCCCCGCCAACAGCCCCCAGCTTGAGCAGCGTGTCCTCCCACCGTCCTCGGCGCCTGCCCCCATCGGAGTATTTCTCTTCTGGATAAGCCGGGTGCGGATCATCATACTCATGGTCTTTACCTCGCGAGCGTCTTCTGAAGAGTGAGCCCAACCCAGAGCCTACTGCTCCCGCGCCAGCCATAGGACCGAGACCACCAGGGGGGTGTCCTTCAGGACCAGGAGGGCCGGACACGTAGCTACGACGAGCTTCATAATCCCCCTCCATGTGATAGCCCTCAGTATCGTATAGGTAGGATAACACAAACCATGTTGCCAGAAGCGCGAAGGCGGCGATCGCATATAGAATAAAAAGCACTTTGGGTGAGCCGTAGAGAGTGAGACCTAGTGGTATTTGCACAATTCCCAAGATTGTCAAAGCGCGGCCAATCCAACGATGTATCTAACAATCGATTAGCCCTCATGTAGACCATCGGAGATGTCACTGCTTGGTCTACTTACGACAAGCTTTAGCGGCACATGAGAGCGCCTCTTGTTTCTTTCGAATTTGTGAACAAGCCAGCCCCATAACACCTGGAAACACACCAAGACATAGATCGCTAGGCCAATTCCATGGTGAGGATTCGTCAAACTCCGTCGGGGGCCTACAGCAAACCAGCCAAATACGAACACAACAGTGCTCAGCATCACGGTCAGAACCTGGCACCAGACGTGCAACTTGAATGCCCAGTATGGGTTCCATCGCGAATAATATCGAACAATCAAGACCGAGATGGGGACAAGACCGAGAAATACGATAGTGGCGATGACACCGTGAACAATGATCAGCGTATGGTATTCGGGCATATCTTTGAATCGGTTCCCCATTCCTAGCGCCCATGGTAAGCGAGATTTTAGCAGATGTGGAGACATGTATGGATTGCACCTACCATTGTATCGCATCGTGTCGAAGTTGATCCCCATCAAGTTGGGCAGCAGGAATGTGTCGCGCTCCGAGTCCCATGTCCCATCACCCACATGTAACGTATTCGAGGAGTACGTACTGCTCCCGGGAGCCGTGAGCCCCGAATCCGCCGCCATGATTGTCAATGAGTTTGTCCTCCGGTGATGTCAGGCCGAGATCGATGACTCCTGCAACAGACGGCGAGATTAGATGCTGTGGAATGTCGGAACTACCGAAGGAGATCTATTGAGATCCCCCACTCCGAAGAATGCACCATGCGCCGACGGAGAAAGATTGGGTTTGACTTGAGTCGCTGATTTGTCCTCCGGCCGATTGACAAGCTATTCGGGAAATTCGCGTAGCTTCTAAGGAGTTTCCGGAGGAAAAGTTGGGACGATGGACGGTCCAGCTCACTCTCTGCAACAAGCGCTGGCGGTGAGAAGTGGAGGATGGAACCGAGATTAGTATAGTTAGAGTGGTCAAGAAGAGAGGAGATAATGACGGAAACAATGACGAGTCCAGAACCAGGGATGTAAAGGAGAAAACAATGGAGGGGGGTGGGTAGCCGTCAGCGAGACGCAGGAAGGGAGGACAAGTTTAGTCAACCGCCGGAGGGGAATTGATCGAGATGCAGGCAGGGTTGGGCTTATTTAGTTAGTGGACTTACCGCTAAGTAACGGCTGGCTGGCTGGCTGGCTGGCTGGCTGGCTGGGGATGCGATGCGATCGCGGCTCGCAAGGTACAAGCACAGCACAGCAGCAGCAACAACGGTTTTCCTTCTTGGGTTTAGTGCGCCAGCGCATATCCCAGACAACCACTGCTGACTCAGCAGTCCTCGACCATCTGCCGGCACGGACCGCCTGCGCATTGTATCGATCGCGTGCTATCTATCTGCTCAGTATCTCACTTTATCCATCTTATCGTCCGCGCTGCGATCAAGTGATCCCTGCCCTTCGCTCCCCCTCCCCCCTCTCCCTTCAATTCGAACAAAGACAATATGTGTATCTCCTGGATCTAATTCATCCTTCTTTTGACCTGAATTTTCTCTCACAACTCTCTTCTCTCTTTCTATGGTTATCTAAAGTGTTCGAAATTCCAACCATGACTTCTCAACTCGAGATATTCGTCAGAGCTCTCTCTCGGTAGGTGTTCTCCTTATCTACAACCAGCCAGCGGTCCTTAGATAAAACACTACTGACCCCTGTGAACATAGCCTTCTGGGCTGGATCTAGTATGTCTCACACTCACATAGGAGTCTCGTCAGAAATTCTTCTGTCGAGGTATATCGGAAACTTTTTCAGTGGCTTATTGATTGGCATAGCACGCTTTGCTGGTCCGCGTCATTCTATCCCCAACCGCTCAACAACTTCCGGCGACGCTCAACCACCGGTCTAGCCATAGACTTTCCTACGATCAATGTTCTAGGTTTCGTCTGCTATACGATCTATACTTCTGCGTTCCTTTGGTCTCCTGTTATTCGTGAACAATATGCCGCCCGCCATCCTCTCGCACAAGACGCTACGGTGCGCTTTAATGACTTCGCTTTCGCCATTCATGCTGTCGTTCTCAGCGTCATCTATTACTCCCAGTTCTGGCCCTTTATCTGGGGCTTCAAGGTCTCTCGGTATCAACGGGTTAGCAAACCGGTCGCTGGTCTTTTTTGGGGCTCGATCGTCGGCGTGGGCGCTGTCGTGGTGATTGTTCTTGCCAATAGTCCCAATGGGGGACTCGATCCTTTCTCGTGGGCTTGGATCGATGTTGTGAGTACTCTGAAATTTCGCAACTGTACTATCACAAAACCAGTCCGGATTGATGACTGATTCCATCAGATCTACGCCCTCTCATATGTGAAACTGATCATCACCATCGTGAAATACGTACCTCAGGCATGGGTGAACTATAAGCGCAAGTCCACCTATGGCTGGAGTATCGAAGGAATCCTCTTCGACTTCTCTGGCGGTATTCTGTCTCTTGCGCAACTGATTATGGATTCGAGTTTCCAGGGCGATTGGAGCGGCATCACCGGAAACCCCGCCAAGTTCCTTTTATCGAACGTGACCATTTTCTTTGACGTCATTTTCATCGTGCAGCACTACATCCTTTACAAGGATGCAGAGGATGATAAGGATAAAGGACAGGGTGCAAACGATAGAACGCCGCTTTTGTCGCAAGCCAACGATCTGCCGTGAGCAGTTGGTGTCAGCGTATTGGATGCGCAAGTCGGATACATCGCGATTTGCTTTTTTGTTTGGAGCTTTTTTGGTGGCGGGTCCCTGCTTACCTTGGTTGCAATTTTCTCTGTCCGTTTGTCGTGCCTCAAGTTTCGCGAAACGATAAGATCCCAACCGAGGCTCGGGATTTCTTGGAATATGTATGAGACGCTTGAATCTCTGCCGAATATATGACGGAGAAGCCGTTTAATTGTGAGATGGGTGGTTGAGAGCATTTTCGACGTCTGAAGGTGGTCCAGAGATGACTCAACCACCGGTGCTCCATGATTGATAGAATATATTTTTGGAATAATGTCTTGCACCAGGTTACGGCACATACCATAATTTGGATGTAACATGACCTTGACACATATACGCTCCAACCGCCGAGATCTGCAGGCCGATTAGGGCCAGCCCGGGGGATAGGGAGGGTCGGATGCAGTGGACGCAATGGACGCAGTACTATGCACAGTAGCGAGGGTGCCGACACCGCTCTTTATCAGCCCTTCCGTGCTGACGGCAATCCTTTGGCGCGGCTTCCCTTCCACAATCCCGCCAATCTGGGGATCGTCACGCTGCGGAATCGCGCAACATGGCATGAACTTCCATGCTGCAGCAGGGATTTCCTCCTTGAGGCTTATGGTCCATCTGGCGGTAAGCAGAAGAGATCTGCATCTCAGCCATGTCCAATAGCGCCCACTTGCTTGCCCGTTTTGGTAGTCGAGTTGTGCCAGCCTTGCAAGCGTGGGGGGCCTAAGCATACCGTCAACCATTCACGTCAGCTTGTTGGTCTCGTCCCACCTGCAACGGCCAGAGAAATCGTGCAGAACCATGACTCGAAGTCGCATTTTTGTTATCCCTTTTTTTGTCTTCCGTTTGTGATGCATCCTCGGTGTCCCCTGTCCTTCATACTTTCTTTTCGATTCTCTATTTTTATGCGGGACTTGGTGAGTCCGCGGCCCTCCCTGAGGCTGAGACCTCTGCCTAGACAGGGAGCCTCCCACGACACGCGAATGCCGCATGCATATTGTGCTGCATACTCAACTACCGCGCAGCTATAGTCCTGGGTCTGTGAGCTTACATTCTAGCCCGAGCTATCTTGTCAGCAAACGACTGGATTTTCCTGACTGGGTCGGAGTCGACCCAAGCCATGCTTCAACAACAGAGTGAATTCCTCACTCCGCCAGCTGCATATGAATACTCCTGATTCGCGCACTGTGGCTTTTCTCACACGATGACTATGCACCTCAGCCCTATCAGGTAGCCAATCTCGAGCCATGATGGTCGATAGTAATGCCTACATAAGCAGTGAAGATCTGCTTTGGGAAGAACAAATGAAACAATGCCCAGAAAGCAATAGTCCGAGCCCCTAGTCTGTGGTGCTATTGGCCAATATTTGAAATTCTTGTCATTGGAGTCAACTATGTATACTCCAACAGAAGATGTCATACGGACATTACCGGCCGGCAATTTAAAGTCAGCTGCAATGTTGGATTTCAAACGCAGTGGAATGACCTATTACATCATGCACCTGGCAGAACTCCCCACTATACATCAACCCCATAGATGTTGTCGATATTAAATCACGAGTTTCAAGGCTAGTGCGAGAGCTGCTGACAGCGTCAACGTCCGGCGAAACCAATGACACAGTGGCATCAAACTTCAAGAAATTTATTAAGCAGAGATTCGGAATGACTCCCGCTCAGCTAACCGGATTGACCGTCAGCTCTCGACATATGCATAGCCACATCTGACATTCGAGATACTCCTTCGAGAACAGAACATTAGAAAGACAGTAGTTTATATGGACCTCCTTTTTCCTCCAGCCGCAACTCGAAAGAAGTTAGACGATGAAGAAGCACTAACCAGAATTGTTGCCCTGATGAAAGTAATTGTTCTTCTGTTGCTGCATGGAACACACTCGTTGCTGAGAGAACGTTTCCATGGACGAGGATACAACTGTAAGTTAAGATTCCCATCACTCAAGCAAGTGGCCTAACAAAATACATACTTAGCACAAGCCAATCTATGATAGAGCTTCTGCTCGTTCAGAGCCTTCCACAATGATTTCACAGAGATCGATGGACAATCAGGTGCTGCTACCACCCGGCTCGTACATCCCAAGTGCCATGTCATTGCAGATGCAGCCGCACCTTTTTCCAGCGGCAGCCTTCCACGAGGCTTCTCTGTCAGCCGTCCATGGGATGCCTGGAAACCTGGGATACGCACTCAGCCAACCCCACAGCAGAAACCCAGGGATGGAGGCCGTCTTCTTCCAGCAGGGGCCTTATACGCCCTCATTCTTGACATCATCCACCCAGCCCAACTTACCACTGTCATCACATCCAATGGCAAACACATCTAATCGAGTCTACTCTGTGCGCCCGGGGAGTTGGGCCACACCGACAGCAACCCAGATCCAGGCACATACACCGACCCCAGAACCACACACAGCAGCAGACTATCACCTCACATCACCCCATCAGCACCACCCAACATTATCTCAACAGCAACTCACCCCTATCTCCACCTCAACGGGCGACTTCGACCTCGACCTCGATCTCGATCTCGATCTGGACTTCGACCTCGATGAGCCCCCATCACAACCCCCAACACAGCCCCACCACCTCGCAGATGAGAACGCCACCGCCGCCATTCCATGCTCCTCTTCATCCTCACCACCACGCTCCCAGTACCCTCACAATCACCACCACGTCCATCGAGATTTGACGAACTATGGCATTCCCAACCCCGACGGAACATGGCGCTGTGCCTACCCAGGGTGCTCCTCACAAGCCCTCTTCCGTCGTGGCTGCGACCTCCGCAAACACTACAACCGACATCGCAAGCACCTGTTCTGCCGCTACGAGGGTTGTCCACAGGCCGTGCGGGGTGGGTTTTCCAGCAAGAAAGACCGGGATCGACACGAAGCGAAACATAACCCCGAAATCCCATGCGAGTGGGACGGGTGTCGTCGGGTGTTCAGCCGAATGGATAACATGAAGGATCATGTGAGAAGGATCCATAAGAGGCGCGACATTTGAGAGAATTCTCTCCCTAGGTCTCCTGTCTCTTCTTCAGTCGTCATATTCAAGGAAGGGGGCGGGGCAGTTTCTAGTTTCGATACAACTTCCGGAACAAGAAGCTTTTCTCGCCCCCAGGGGACAAACACTTAGGAGAGGTGGGTGGAAAGTGGAGGGTCCGAATATGCTAGAATGGAGCCAGTCAGCGACATACAAACATGATTACATACGAAGTATGTAGTGCAGTGAGGGCGCGTACCCCCAGCTGAGGAAAAGTGGAGGCTTTTTCTTTTCAGCCTCATCCCGTGACTTTGACTGAAGAGGAAGGAAGACGTGTGGTTCCGGTTTCTGGCTGGCTGGCCTGCAGGACTTGGCCTAACCCCCTCCCCCCTCCCTTGTCTCACCCTCCTTCACAGGAAGTTGGTGTGTGGGCTGACAGGTATTCTCCTCGTCGTCGTCGTCGTCATCGTCGTCATCATCATCATCATCATCACAACAACATTATTATCTCCTGGCGTAACAAGACCAACGCCCGCACACCACTACCATACAACATACCCAGAAAACCAACAATCGCATTCCACACACGAGCAGCTCTACTCCATCGCCAGTGCGCAATGCAGACCCCTCAATCAACTTTGATGATACCTTCTCCTTCCCATCACCTTTTTAACAAAAATGGAAGGGACTTTCAAACCTTTAAACCCCCCCCCCCGGGAAAGAAAGACAGCCATACCAACTTCAGAGGTCCTTAGTACCAACCCTATTCAACACACCTAAAACTCACTGCGGGCCAGTGTGTGGGATTGAAACCATTTGGTCGCTTGTACTCTACCCAGCTGCGCTATCAAGCCTTCTGCTACTCACTTTATATGTCTACAATACCCATAGAAACTTTTACACAGCACATCTTGCCAGTGTAATTTCTCCCTTCTGTGGGGTGTCCCGTGTCCCCTGCCTTTTGCTCTTCTTTTCACTCTTCTTCTGGAGTGTCGTCTTTTGATACAAGGCTTTTTTTGGTTTTCCCCTTCTTTCATGCCGAGGCTAGCTGACTAGTTGTGCAAATACCTGAAAATGCAAAGGGGGGAGGGAATATTTGACGCAATTCAAGAAACGAGACAGCAACACAGAAAGTCCAGACCAACAAACTTCTCGGACCCCCCGTTTTGGACCTTCTTTTCTGGTTTCGCTGCTTCGCTTCTGCAGCTATTACTAGGATCACACTCAATACTACTAGTCAAGATAGAATCCAATCAATTGAAGGATGTTGCTTATGGAAACCTCGATCGACGCCAGAGCTCCTATATGTATATGTGGGGAATATTTTTACGAAGAAGACTAGAAGGTGCTGTGGGAGGCGCAAAGAGAAAGTTGGGAGCAGCAGAGGAACCGAAGAGGGATCGAGAATAGAAAGAATCAAAAAAGGTATCAGCGAGCTTTCCCGAAGAACGCCAATAAGGTCAAATCTTGTACAAAAGAACCATAATTCGCCAAGGTATTCAGCAACAAACGAGGCTAAGGTGTATATGCAAGGTAAGAAATAAAGCGAATGGCATGGAAAAAGTCGCGCAGGACAATGGATGATAGAGTGTCAAGAGTAACTCCAAGAAGATCTGGTATCACTAAAAGAAGAGTATCAAGAAGACGGGACGAGCTCATATGATGCATGTGCAGTAGACACGACAATTGGGGAAACGGGTGGCGGGCGGTGGGTAAGAGTGGCTGCGTGATTCCCAGCATGACTCATCAGCATCAGGATCATGTTCGAGAAAGCCACCTTCCCGAAGACTGAATCAACACGGGCGCTGTCGCTAATGCAATATCATCTGAACAGTAAATCTGCACTTATGGGAAGAGGGGTTCTCACGACGGTCGTGAGGAGGTCGCTCATTGAGCGTTGGTGCGGCGGCGCCGACCGCGGTTGCTACCTTCCGGTCTCTGGGCCAGGACCTGCCTGAGAGCCGGATCATCCTTATTCTTATCGACATGATGGACTCGGACATGTCTGTTTAGATTGTGAGTTGCGCGTTCATATTGACTCTCGGTAGACAAGGACCTTACCGTTGAAGATTGTCCGGTCGAGGGTACTTATGCTGTTGATCTGGACAAAAAGGGCAAACATAACCGGGAGAATTGTGGACGAGACCATGACGGATCATCTCGTTCTTCCGTTTAAAGCCCTTGCCCCCTGGTCCACGAGGACAGCCTTCTATGGGGCAAAAATGCGGACGGTCTTGGGAATGAACGTTCGCATGAGAACTGTGGAGCCGTTGAGTCTGTGGTCTCAAGTCGAATGGGGTCATGCAGACGCTTACTTGAGTAGATATTGAGTCTGGAAAGGAGGTGCCGTGCACCCAGGATGACGACATTTATATGTCCCAACTGGTACAGGCCCATTAGCCTGCGCAGAGGGGTTAAACGATCGGTCGCAGGACCCTGTAGGTGTCTGATCCGTCGGGGTCGGATAACTTGTCGCCGGACTCTTGACCGTGGAGGGTGCTACCTCATATGGGGAGGTCAGGTAAGGTATCTCTTTGATCCTCCAGTACGGTGACTGTGAAGCAGGAGACGGCATGGTTGACATTTCCTTCGAGCTCGCAGGAGATAGATGTGAATATGGGCTGGGCGGAACCTGCGGGGGAGGGCCAAACTGCCCCATGCGCTGGTGATCCCAGAGAGAGTCTGTTCTTGAGACTGGAGAGGAAGCTTGTACTGGAGGCAGGGTATAAGAAGACGAGCCATTGATGCGCACGGCGGGATTTGGCGGTACATCCGTGACTGCCGCTAATGCAGTTTGGAGGGAAGGGAGGCTATGATCGACAGAGTTCCCGGTTGATGAAGAGTGAAGCGCTGGTAGAACCTGGCCTGGAGATGTCGAAGGGTTGACGAGAAGTAGTTTGCTCAAGCGGGAGTCGGGGTCAGACAGCTTCCTTTCCTGTCGTGGCGGAGGATCCGATAGTAGTGATGAGATATTATTGTTATTGGGAGGCGTGAGCTGTTGCTCCTGCTTAGGAGACGACTGCTCCGGGGAATGACTAGGTTCTTTTGGCGTCAATCCGAACTGGGCATTCTCCCTCGGGTCTTCCTTAATATCTAAAGATACCAGATCGAGCGCTTGTTTGGCTGTGGCTGCAGCTTTCAAGCTGTCTGTCTCCGTGGGTTTGCATGGCTCTGGCAGCAAAGCATTGTCCAGTTTAGACCTTAATTTAGTAGGCTTGTCAAAGGATTCATCAGTTACCGCCTCATGAGTGAAGCCATGTTGATATTCGAAATTGGCTATATCAGGTCGATTAGGCTCTAAATGTCTGATCAGCACCGAGTTGCCCTCGAGTGTTCTGGGCTTGGGAGATTCCGGCAGGCGCTTACGGGAACTGCCCGAAAACGGTGCCACATCGTCCACAGCAGGTTTAGCAACGTCTCCCTCAGGCGGCGGTTCCCCAAAGGGTGGAGGCGAATCCTTGAGTGAGTAATCAACCTGGGTGGCCTTCAGCCCGGGGGAACCAGGGATTTCATCTGGGTCGTATGATTCTGTCATGAATGCAGTGGTTTGAGGCGCATCAGGTGCGCTAGCCTACTGTCTGTCGATATTTCTTCTGGTGCCTTGTGTCGCGTAAAGCAATGCAAGCCCACGCTGGAGGCAGTGAATCAGGTCTTTAACCTCTCCCGCGAGCACAGCAGACGGGTCGCGTTGTGGGGCTTAAATGCACTGTCATCTGATTAGTATGTGCGCGGGTAAGGCCCTAGCAAGATGGCGTGTAGGACATGAAAGATGCAGCTGACAAGAAAGATGAGGCAAGCGATCTACGGTAGCTATCCTTTGGAGCCAGAAACCGAGCATGATTCGGATAAGAGAAAAGGAATGAGATGGAGATAGACGGTAAGTCATCGAAGAAGAAACATGCGAGGATCGAACCAATGATTCAAGATCCGATCTGTAGCACTTTGGGAGAACACCACATTATTTGGACCCGTTGCGATGGATGTGGGGTGCAGATCAAGCGAAGCCAGTTGAGAAACGGAGAGAGCAAGAAAAGAAGAGAGGACCAGAGGACCAGAGTGAAAGCCAGTGATATAGTAGGGAGGAATGTTGGGATTCACATGACAGCGAGTTCTCTCACTTTCTTTTTCTGGAAAAATAGGAATTTTGTGGTTTCCTCTCTCTGTTGGCTGTGTGATAGAGGATGGTGGGACGAGGAGGACAAAGAGGAGAAAACGGCCAAGTATTTTGCTTACCTGCTGCTGTCACAGAGCCCAAGTCGGGTAGCCTCAGGAACCAAGCGATGAGGCTCAAGCGGAAGTCAATCAACCGCACGTCGAAATCCACTCCGAAAGACAAGGCTGCACTGCACTGGGCGCATAGATCAAACGATCTTCCGCACAAGAGTTAAAAAGCCGTGGAAGTGGACTTTTGGAGAGAACCCGAATCGTCTAACAACCCGAGAGGCGGTCGTTTGGTTCAGTTAAGCAAAAGCGGGGGATGGTGATGATGGTGATGATGAGAAGAGGTCACGATGTCACTCTGGCCTGATGAAAGGTGGAAGAGGAAGAGGCGGAGGAGGAGGAGTAGGTGCAAGTAAGCGAGCATCAGGTCATGAGGAGAAAATCATCGTCTAACGGCGCCAGGAGTAAGCAACGGCAACGGCGGAACTCGTGGTGATAGCAGTAGCCGGTGTAATTGTGGTTGTAGTTGCAGTGATGATCATAGGCAATGGCAGCAGCTAGAAGAGGAAGAGGAGCAGAAGAGTACCGCAAATCAGGACCAGAAGAATGAAGAAAATCAACAAAAGCGAAGAAGCACAAAGGTAAAGGTAATTAAGTCAGAATAGTGGTGGCCGGTAGTAATCCAGACACGATAGAATAGTGGCCGATATAGCTGATAGTTCGAGCCAGCGGGATTATGACGCGCTTGGCAGGTGAGAATTGGAAAAATAAAAAATAAATGAAATACGGTAGATCAAAATGAAAAGGGAAAGGGGGAAAGGGAGAAAAAAGCAGAGGAAATTAAAATAAAATAGGATAAGATAAAACAGGATAGAATAAGAAAAAAAAAGGTTCAGGGTACGGCCGGAGCGGTCAAGAGCACAAAAGCAGCAACCGCAGCGTGGGAAACGGCAGAACCGAAAGGAAGGATCCGGTTAGAAGCAGAAGAGAAAGAAGCAAGAAAGGGAATAAGGTGAAGAAGGAGTAAAGAAGCAGAAGTGGAAGAAGAAAACCCACACAACAACGGGTGAATGGATGGATGGATGAGAATAGATGGTGAGTGGATGGAATGGAATGGGGTAAGGAGATGAGGGACAGGATGGGACTGGACAGGACAGGACAGGATGGAATGGAATAGGACGGAGACGGAGAGCTAACTGGGTCGTTAGTCTAGTCAGTCAACAACTAGCGACCTTAACTTACCTCACTTCACTTCAGTTCAAAAGTCGAGGCCGTTCAAGCCGTGGTACAGTACTCCGTACTCGGGGTGGGAGTATTGAAGAGGAGAAGGAACCGTAGGAAAAGCCGCGCTGACTGAAAGTCGATCTCCACACCCAGCCCGGCCTGGAAAAAAGACACGGGGTGGAGAAACAACACAAGAGACAAACGACAGGACAAGTTTCTTGCTTCTACACTAGTAGCATCTAGTCCTGCCAAAAGCTACCACCACCACCACCACAACATCGCAACAATCAGCTATGACCATAAGGTGGACACAAATAGACTCAGGGAGCAGCAATCATAAGAATAATGTAGAAGACCAAAATGCGATTAGAAGTGCGCTAACCCGTCTGTCTTCCTTTTCTTTTTCTCTCGTATTGTGTTATCCCCTCCCCGACTACGAGTTATTGACTGGCAATGACCCTATTCTATTTGTCTGCCTGGCTGGGCTGGCTGGGCTGGGCTGGCTGGCTGATCCTGAATTGACTGACCTCTTTTCTCTCGTTCTTCCCCTTTCTCTCTCTATCTGGCATCCCCATTGACTTACATGGTGGGTGGGTGTGCGCGCGCAACAAAGTTTGACTGCCCGTCATGAGAATCACAATCACGATGATCAACCTCTCCGGGGGTTGTCCCAAATTCGCATTGAGGCTCCACCTGCGTCAAAACAAAATGGGAGAAGAGGAGGCCCTGAAGAAGCGTTGAGGGAGTGACTGAAAGCTGACTCCCAGACGCGCCACTGCAGCAGGCAAACAGAGGTAAGTGGGGTGAGTCTCCCCACGACTGAGAGACTGACAATTGCCGGGAAAGAGGAGACCCTAATTAGGTACTATTCTATTGACATCTGCTGGTAATGTGGACTCCTACTTGGAATGAACCTTACACACAAGAAAGCAGTCTACCACATTGGAGACTTGCGAGAAAAATTGATGTTCATCTCTCGAATATCATTCCTTCCTTCCGGTCCCCTCCTTTGAAACAAGAAGAAAAAAAAAAGAATAATGCCACGTCCACGAGGCTGACCCAGCCAGCCTAAACCGAAAAGAGGCTCCACCCATATGAGGCTCTCTGCATGGAAGTCAATGATTGGCAGTCAATCGCGGGCACAGGTGAAGAGGCTGAATTGTTCATCTGCACAGAACCGTCGTGGAACTTGGCGACGAGGGGGAAGGTGCGTTTGGCTTGCCGCCGCCACCCCTTCATCTAGGCTGAAGCCAGCAGCTGTTAATGTGGTGGGTGGTGGTGGTGGTCTTCATGATTACTTCTTCCACGCAGGGCGATCGTCTCAAATCGAGGGGATTCTCGATCGATCGGCAGAGCTTTCTGTTTCCGTTTCTCAATGTCTCAGTTCTCTATATCCGTAGATGCACAGTGATTTACTCGTGTTTATTTTTCGTCTTTTTTCGGTTGATCCTCGATCCATTTCGAGCCAACAGTCGTACTGGGTAGCATACCTCAGGCGACAAGGCTGCTGCCGGTGCAGTTGTTTGATGGCTGACCGCCTCGGAACGAATCTCAGTCAATTCCCAAACCTCCACTTCGCTTTGCTGGACAGAATCCTTCTGGCTCGGTAACACAGACGGCACGGGAGAGCTTTTTAGGTCTTCATTCACTCATTGAGCCCTTTATCATGCACAGGGATTCTCATAACTGGTTATGAGAGAAAGAGTCCCGAGGCAGGCAGCATCCATCAAAAAACCAGGAATTGCAAAGCAAACAGCAACAGCAGCGACCGCACTTGCGAAAAGGTCACATTTCGAACGGACGAGGAGTCTCGAGGAAGAAGAATGATGCAACAACTCCCAGCCACTATAGATCGCTAAAAACAAAAATCTTAACTAATCGCGGTCTGACGGTGGTTGACTTTCGTATGGACATGACCGATCGTTGACTAGGTAGTAAATAGATTGATTAAGGCCCAGTAGTTGCGAATAGGCACTAACGAGCTGTGCCGATTCCGAAGGCCCCATCTTATCGAACCTAACCAGTAGCCGCGGGCAGGATTGAGGATACATGGTCCTGAGTACAAAGAGGAATGGGAGGGGAGGGGAAGAAAGGGAAGAAGAGGAACAAAAGTCAGATCAGGTCAGGTCAGATCCAGGTCAGCTTTGTTGTGTCCCACTTCTACCCCTCCCTGTTTATTCCGGTTCTTCCCAGTTACATCGCACGGCCATTTCATCATCATCATTATCATCATCAATACTGTCACCAACAACAATAACAACAATAATAACAATAACAATACCAACAACAATGCCAACAGCAAATAACAATAACATAACAATAACAGCATTGTTGCTGAAATATTCGCACTCGTATTCTGGATGGTTAGTGGTTACAGAGTTGACCTCTTTCGGCATTGGTTTCGACCCGTCGAATCCCAGAACCATGAATCGGAATGGGTCTATGAGGGGTTGGGCGGGAAACGGTTATCTACACCATGACCTTCAACTAACCCATGTAGGAATGGTTCTTGAGACGGACCTTAGTTAAGGTAGCTATAACCAATAAAGAACTTAGGACTGAAGGCATTATTAAGACAGTTTCTCTTCTCTCGGCTCAACAAGAGACCTAATTATCCATTCTACGCTTGGCTGTCTGGAGTTCAATTCCGGATGAGCATGGGACAAGAAGATGGGAGATGAAAAAAAGCAACACCAAGAGAGTCAAATATGAAAAGAAGGACAAGGAAAAAAATGCTTGATGCCTATCGGTTGTGCGCATCCAATCCTGATCTGATGTGCAGCCAATCCTCTATCCCCAATTAGGCAGGTCTTCTGGAGCGCAGTGCCAGGTGGTGAGTCTCCTGGATTGACAGGGTATACTGTGCTGTACAAGAGGTGATTACTCAAAATGTTCAATGTTTGAATTAGATTGTTGCAATACGGGTAAATCCTCAAGAGTAGACAGACAGACAGACAGGCGCACCCGTAACCCACAATGATCTGATGGGCTCTTGCCCTTCCGCAAGCTCTCCCGAGGGCTAAGACCCGGAGTAATTGAGGCGTCGTGGTCACTCTGGTCACTGGTGAGACTTTTCAACTGTCACTCTGCAGATGATCGGGTCGTAGCCCAACCCCGGCCCCACGCGCTTTTTCCCTCCTTCCTCGCGCCCCTCCCTCCCCTCCCTCCCCCCCTCCCCCCCTCCCCACTTCGTCGTCAGTGCACCGAATGATCGATGCTCGTTTCAACAACGGGCAAGAAAGAAATAACCTATGGAAGTAATGAGGGCCGCTGTTGCGGCGACTGCTACGGTGCTACTGCTACTCGTACTACTGGCCAGCGGGGTCCGACTTCAGCGACCAGCAGCTGAAGAAGGCAGATCGCTGTGCCGGAGGCCCATTCTCACCTGCAGGGTTGGCAAGATAGCACACACCACTCATACATACACTAGCTTCTAAGAACCCACCTTAGATGACGACATTGTTCTCTGGTGAAGGCTGAAGGTTCTCCAAGTGTGATAAGAGCTGGTACTGAGTAGGATTTGGAGGCAATTGTTTAACTGATTTAGCCTGTTCTTCCCGTCCCAGAGATGGAGGAGGTACTCCATGATGTACCGACCAGCTGCCAGCACAGCAGGAGGCTACGTCGGAGAAAGAAAAAGTACCGCACCCCATGAAAGTCATGTTGAACACCTGAACACCATTGGTTCCTTGGTGGGCTTACGGCAGCACCCATCTTCTGCCCTGGACAACCATCTTGCCCAGCTGCCCCAGTCAGGAGCCTCGACCACCATCGCACTGTAAGACTTACTATTCACATCCGAGTACCACCTCCCAAAAGCTACGAGTTACAAAATTCTCTCCATCGTGTCAACTTAGACAGCCAATCCCCTGAGCCAAAGCTAGCGTGCTCGAGTCACGACTTTTGAGGAAGTAACAATCATATGGGTGCAGATCAAGTCCCGATGGGTTACTCTGCACGACGGAAACCGCGAGAAAACCAGTTGTTGTCGTCGAGAACAAGGGGAGAAGACGCAAAGAAATAGCCCGATTGAAGGGCCCTGGACATCCCCCTCCCAACTCCTCTTCCACCACCCGCAGCAAGAAGAAGAGTAGGTAGAATCCAGAGAAAAATAAGAAGCCACACCACCACCCACACAACGAGGGCGAGAACAAGGTCGTGCAATGCGACATGTCATCCGATAGAAGCGACCGGATAGGGACTAGAGGCGGCCCGCGCCGAAGCAAATTGACGGTTCAGTTCACCAATTCGCGGATGGATCGTCGACGGTACTTATAATCCCCGGCTACTATGTTGTGTGGGTGGTCCATAAACTTACCCTGCTTAACAGCATTATTATTACGGTACAGAGTAAGCAGCACACAAACAAGAAAAAAGAAGGGAAAAAAAATCACATACGCATACGCATACCCACACACCCACACACACACACACACACACATACGCAACAAAAAGTGTTCGACTTATGTACAGTCAATCATACCCTTTCCTCCAAATCTTGATTACTGCCCGCATCACTGCAGCATCAAACATTAAACACCGAGGACGGCCCCACCGTTTACTTTACAGAGTACCATGTGCCACTTCACTCCTCGACCACCCCCTTCTTTCGTCTGCATCACCCAATCTGAACGACACCAAGACGGCAAGAAGGGTGCTAGAAAAGTATCGGAATTGGAGGAATGTTCGATCAATGGAAGGGCGGGCGAATTGCTATCTTCTCTTCCCGCTTTTCTTCCCACCAAAAGGAAAGAGAATTATATCTGGCCCGGTTGAACCTCTTTAATATACTCCGTACTATCCGGCTACTGAAAATTAGCCAACTAGCCCTAGCCAAGCTAGTCAAAGGAATGAGATCCCGTGTTTACTCACGGTATGGAGTAAAAGTCGTTAGGTAATCAACTAATCAAACCACCTACTAACTTATACTGTACGTATGCCGGATTCCTTCGGACAACCTCCTTCCCTTGCCCTAAGATTAAGACTTCCCGAATCCTTCGGGGAAAAGCTGATACACTGTCGTACCTACTAGTAGTCTAGGGCAGTCATTTGGTTACCGTAAACAGCAAGAAGCGAAAGTCGGGCACGTTTCATTCATTCATTCATTCATGTCTGAGGTTCTCGTTCTTGCTGCTGAGCGGAATACCGAATGTATATGGGCTAGTAGTCCCGGAAACTGAATTCCCAAGTCTCTGATGTCTGGACCCAATTGAATTGACTTGACTTTATTTGTCGCTATTGATGCGCTATTGATGGGAACATGGGGCCTTCAAGTCATCAGACCGAGGGGTAGTGGGTGGGAATTGGAGGTGCTAACTCTCTCCCTCATGCTTAGTTCTTACATGGAGCATAGTAAGTTACTAGAGAGGAGTTTGTTTCCAAACGCACCTAAGGATAGATAGTTCCCATTGATAGAGCGACGCTACGACCCAATATGTATGTATGCAGGCATATATGTATGTCAGATCTGCTTACTATTCAGTACCCTGCCTTTTCCCTTGGCTTTGATGATTCTCTGTGTTATGTGATTTCTCCTAGGAGATTCGCACCGGGAAAGAAAAGCGGATGGGAAAAGTACTTGATTCATGCAGCTACAGTGAGCCTGTGGACCGTATGGCTTAGTTGACTTCAGTTGCGCCCTCCCGTTTCTTTACTTTTTCTTCCTACTGACATCTGTTCGGGATGTGAATCCTGCCGAGGTTCTCCCCGAGCTTGGACCACACAGCGAGAAGAAGAAAACAAAAAAAAGAGAGCGAAGGTGCAGTGCGTAGAGGTAGCGGTAGCTCCGACCTGAACGAGAGGCTATACTGCTAAGCGGTGCAATACATAATTGTCGAAGTACTGAACAATGTATTACGATTGAATTGATCAATTATAGACTTCCCTCCTGTTCTGAAGACTGAAAAGTCAACAGTAGTTAATTCTACAGCATCACATATTCGTACAAAATTCCGACGCTTCCTTGAGGCTGGGAGAGGGCGAGACCCAAGCTGAGGCTAAAAGGACCTACATACTTAGACCCCTAAGAGTACCTAGTAGTGGTAAGTAGCCCTGGAGCCGGGGCAAGGGGGAGCCGCACCCAACTGATTGCCTCAACCGGGGAGAGATGCGTTGGTGCCGGATTGTGCTGACTCTTCGGAATTTGCAAAGGCTTACTGTATGTACCGTACTGTACACCTGTGCTGGCCCGGGTTTGTTCCTTGCTAAGCGCATATACGAGGAAATCCGGCGTCATCCGCCTCCAACTGAGCCTAACACATATTCTCTGGCTTACTCCCTATTATCTTCCTACAGTTGGACTAATCTAACTCACTAACTGACTAGCCCGTCGATGGACCTCGGAGGGTTCCATAATTTTCCTTATAAGGACAGAACAAACAATTAGAAAAAAAAATAAGTTTCGAACCGTGCACTTGCAAACTACTGCTGCTCATCCCTGTTCGTTGGCACTGGCTTGCAGTCTGATTGACGCACTGACACTGTTGCTAGTTTTCTTTTGTTTATGCTCTTCTAAGCGTGCACACTCATTTCACATACGAGTTCGTTCATCCTTCTTTGAGAAATCGTTGTTCTGTCTCGAACTCAATGAGACCGACGAGTCCGGCGAGTCACCTTACTTGAGAGAGTTCTCCAACATGGATTTGAAGTTCGTGTATTACATAGGGACATAGCTTCACAGTATATCGGTTTATAATAATGCACCTCTTCCTCGTCCTTCCTTCCTTCAATACTTTCCCCAAAAAGACCCCCAATGGAGCGTTCGGAGACAGTCATACGGCCGCAATCGATGATTTTATAGTTTGGCCCGTTGCCGCAGTTGTTCTTGCACCTGTTTGACTCGCTCCCACGCCTTCAGCGCAAATGGATTGGTGTTCCTGGCGTACTCCACCGCGCGAGCACTACTGGCCTGCCGAAGAGCAAACCGCGCCTTGATACCCTGCATGATGACCGAACTTCGCCATGAGAAGAATGCATCCCCCCATGGGATGTCGGGCGTGGGGTCATAGCCAGAGACCTCTTGGTACCATTGGATACAATCGGCTCGTGTGGGCAAGCCAGGGACCGCGTTGGGCTGGAACTGGTCTGTCTTATGATCTGTGCCTTCCAAGAAGTATGGGCTAGTCAGATTACAGAGGTCTGACAGCGGATGACCCACCGTGGCCATCTCCCAATCCAGGATGCCAATGACACGAGGCTCGGATTTATGGAAAATCATATTATCAATTTTATAATCGCCGTGCACGAGCGTGCCCCGATCCTGAGGCTGGGTGGCCTTATCGGAAAAAAATCGCACCATGTCCATGAAATGAGGCAGCTCGCCGACCGGTTCCTTGGTCTCCACATCCACCGCTTGGGCTTGAGCGCGAGATACTGCGGTGAATGTGGCGATCTGACGATCGTAGTAGCCCGACGGTCTTCCGAAGCGTTCCAGGCCAACCAGCTTGGGAACAACTCGATGGAATTTGGCTAGTGTCCGAACCGCATCCTGCCATCTATATCATCTTAGCTCGGGGGTCATCTTTGCCAAAGGAGAGGAACCCTGCAGGTTGAAAATCGACAACCAACAAGGCAATGACCTACAGTGCAGTCCTTTCGGCAGGGTCGACGCCGGGCATAGCAGGGTCAGTAAAGTGGCGGCCATCTAGGAACTCCATGATGTAGAAAGGCGTGCCTATCACATCGCTATCTTCACAGAGACAATATGCCTTGGGCACAGGTACATCTGTATGTTCCAGCGCATGAATGATCTTGTATTCACGCTCGACTTTGTGCGCCGTCTTGGAGAGCAGCTTGCCTGGTGGCTTTTTCCGTAAGACATACTTGCTGCCGTCGGCGGTTGTGAGCTGGTAAGTCGGATTGGATTGTCCGAAACCGAACTGATCTCGGAATTAGTAATCTGCTTGATGGCCCGAGATGAAATGCTAGTCAATAGATAAGCTACCTGCTTCACATCTACCGGCGTCTTGATTTCTGGGACATTCTGATCGAGGTAGCGTTCCAAGGAGGGAACATCAATCGGTTGCCGCACGGCTCCAGCCATGGCGCAACGAGTTATTCGGATAATGAGATTGCGATAGCGGGTATGATTACCTCGCTTTTATGCCTCTGTAGTTCGAGACAAGGGGTAGCTGTAAGCTAGGAACGTGTATCATGGTTGGAAGGGCGGGCAGTCAGAGGTGGTTAAGAAGGGCACAGGTACACGACAGGCTCAACCGAGGCTAAGCACCGCATTCCATAGGGGTTAATTTGCGGGGCGTCGGCTGTTAACCACCTTTGGGGGGAGGAGGGGGGAACAATACAGCCGCGGGAACTAATGTAGTTAGCCCGTTAGTTACGTACCCTGTTCTTAGTCATACAAGTCAAACAATGCAAACCGACCCAGCAGTCAGCCAGAGCAAATGCAAGCAGGCAAAACCACTTAACGCGCTCGTCGCGTGTTGACCGCCAGACGCGTCCCACCATGAAAGCTCTCCTCAAACTCGCATTTCACCGTCCGCCTCGACACACCGCAATTCTTCTTCCTTCCTCTCTTCCTCATCACAGAAGATATAGAAGAAGCAACTCATATCTTACGCACCTCTTCTCAACCTCAATTCCACAACTCCTTAAGCCAGTTCACAAGAGAATGACCAAGGAGACCACCCCTCCTCCCCCCGCCGAAACCACCACCACCACCACCACCACAACTACCACCGCGGCGGCCCACGAACCTCCCTCCGCTCCCTCCTCTCCCCTCGCCAAGCGCACAAAACCCAACACCGCCGAAGAACAACCCCAGCGAATATCCAACATGGGCTCCACTGCTAACCCTCTCCCTGCCCTCCTCGTCCAGAAGCTCACCCCCTCGGGTCGCGCCCCGACTCGCGGCTCCGCCTTCGCCGCCGGCTACGACCTCTACAGCGCCAAGGACACCGTCATCCCCTCCAAGGGCAAGGCCCTCGTCGACACGGGAATCGCCATTGCTGTGCCTGAGGGAACCTGTACGTGTTATCACCACCACCACCACCTCCTCCTCCTCCACCACCAGATATAGCTCATTCGAGCAAAGATCCGTTTTTCTGTCTCCATAATTCGTAACGAAACACAGAGCTAACCAGAACTCGATCACGCTATAGACGGCCGCATTGCTCCCCGCAGTGGTCTCGCCTCGAAGCACTTCATCGACACCGGCGCGGGCGTCATTGATGCCGACTACCGCGGCGAGGTCAAGGTGTTGTTGTTCAACTTCTCCGATGTGGATTTCGAGATTAAGGAGGGTGATCGTGTGGCGCAATTGGTTTTGGAGCGGGTGAGTAAACCTTCAAGGGGGACAGGACAGTTCGAGGAAATTGGCTAACGCTTGCTTCTTTTCTTGTGCCAGATCTACACGCCTGAGGTGACTGTCGTGGAGAAGTTGGAGGAGAGTGTTCGTGGAGCTGGTGGTTTCGGTAGTACCGGTACCAACTAAAAAGAATTATTCATATGAATCGATGTGATGATGATGATTTTGGGAAGATCAAAAGATCGTTCTGTATATGCCTGGCAATATTTGGCGCAGAAGCAGGAAGGCAAAACGCTTTGGGGGGGGGGTTTGCGTTCAAAGATTAGACCGTTTCGATTGCGTATACCTAATGAAATGCATATGAACTTGAAACACTGTCATTATACACTTCACGTTCTATACCTCATACTCTCCTTATCATCTAATCCTTGAATGAAAGTCTATTGTCTACAGACCTCAAAACCAAGCCCTGCCCATGCTAAACAACATCTATCCTCGATCTATGCACACCCCATGACTGGATTACAGAAAAAAGTGTTCACCGGAATTGCGCTGGTAGATCGTCTTTGCTCCATTCCTGCGCCGGGAATTCTACCGTCGGCTCGCGCAGGAATTGGACGTGTCGCACTACTCGCACCTCTGCGGCTTTGCTCTCGCGTAGGTGCTCTTGTTTCTTCCTCTCTTCTTCACCAAGCACCTTCCCGTTAGAGACAACTGTTGCTTGGAGCTCGGTATTACGCGCTTCCATGGTTTTCTCGAGAATACAGTGCATGCTGGCGAGAACCTTGACGGTGGACTGTGCCAATGGTAATGCTGTGGCTGGGACGTCATCTGGGGAGACCCAGGATTTGTTGGTGCGGAGGGCGGGGTCGGCGGCAAAGACGGCCTCACGGAGCCGAGCCACCGTTAGGGCTGCGAACATGTCCCCGGTCCCGCTGAAATAACAGTCGAGTGCGGGAACGTCGACGCGGAACAGACGCGGGGAGCCATCAGAGCGAGTGGTGGAGCCGATCACGGTGAGCGTGTTTGCGAAAGACGTAGTGGACGATGCGGATGATGAATCTGAGAGATTGGAAATCTGGACGGATGTGATGATAACGTGGGGAACCTTGTAGGTGGCGTGAATAGCGGTGATGGCTTCTGCGAGGGTGCTGAGAGAGGTGATTTTGACTCCGGATAGGACTCTGCGCATGACCATTAGGTGATTGCTCGGATAAGGGAACTGGGCAAAGAGAAGTCTTACTCGGCCTCAAATTGATTCGGTAGGATCAAGTCCGCGTGGTGAATCATCTCCTTGTATGCGGGGACGACATCGTTGTTAACATAGAGTCGGCCTTGATCGCCCATGACCGGGTCCAGGACTGCAGCCAGTTAGACAATTTCGCCAAGGTCAATCAATGAACTAGCTCACCCCAGAAGAATGAACCTGGTTTCTTCTCTGCTTTGCGCTGAAGATCCATCCCTATAGCCCCGACAGCCTCCACCGCGGCAGCGCTGGGGGCGTAGCCAGACAGCATAACATCGAAGTCAGTAAGGTGGCTTTGGGTCAGGCCCTCGTAAAGCGCGGAGATCTCTTCAGCCGTTGCTCTTGTCCCCTTGAATTGCCTGTAGCCCGTGTGGTTGCCTGGCAATGTGGTCAACACTGTGCCTGGATGATTTAATACGACGATCGTAACAACTGACTAAAGTGCACTGTATTCAACGCGGCAACATCACAACCCAGTAGCTGCATGACCACACTGGCCATTTTATTGCCGACATATCTGTTTAATCAGCCTGGAGTCGGAAGAAAAGAATAGTGTGATCGTTTGTATATGCGGGGGAGAGATGAATGTGGTAGAAGACATCATCCGTCGTTCCCCACGATGTTATGAGACATACCCGTAGACGACCTAGTCCGGCTAGGTCAGCTGACTATTCGAGGGTCTGTGGGAAAAGATGAGAGATGAGCATCACGTACATGGCTGGCTACCGCGAGGACCCGTGTTTCGGGAACAAAGAGATCAGCGACCATGATGAAATGAAGGAGGAACTGGTGGAGGAGGGGAGGGGGAGGGGAGGGGGAAGGGAAGGGATGGTGGGTTCAAGTTTCGATGATGGAGATATATCAATGATCAATCATGCAGTGGAAGAGATCCGCTCTGGAACTGGGTCGGGCGATAGGCGAGCAGCGGAGCCCCATTGCCGTCCTCAGCGATTGGTTCCTGAGGCCGACCTGTAGCCCGTGCCAACCACGGCTAATCTTGTAGTCTCCTCCCTACTCCGCGGCGTGCTCTTTCCCCTTCATTTCCAGTTAAACTTGGAAACGAACCCCGAGCTCTGACAGACGTTGCTTATGACCAGTGGACCACATACTCCGGAGTACATACTCTTCCTCTGGCAGACCGGTCTGTGCTGTTCTCTTGAGCTTTATTGGAAATCATAAAAAATCCTCACACATGACGATGACTTCAGACAGGCAGACTTCGGCCCCTCCTTCCCAGGAGCCATGCAGTCAGCAGAAGTCAGGATGAACATAAGGTGCACATTCCTGAATGCTTACTTCTGCTCATGGACAACCCCTTTCCGACTAGAAAGGAGATGCTGAATCCTCAATAGTAGTGATGTCGGCTCTTGATCTTCTGTCAGACCATTCCTTAAAGTCCATGCCGTCGCACTGACTCGGCACGGTCCAATGAGACCCGCAGCTAAGAATAACCCTCGACCGGTCCAGACACTTCTCTTGTCTCTTGGTTCTTTGGAATCCAACTCTCTCACTGCAGGAAAGACGGTATCTGCACGCTGCAAAAGCCCTTCAACCCGTCCCGGTGATGGTGGCTTCAATGCCAGGCACGCCGTCTCGTCTCCTCGCGGCAGCCACACGCACACAGTCCACACACACCCCTGGCTACCATTGACCCTTCCCCATCCTTTCCTTTTATTTTTTTTTGGACTGTCTCTCTTTCACTTCGGGCTTTTGCCATCGTGCTCACTCCCAAGGGTATCAGTTCAACTCCGGGGGTTACACCAGAATGGTTTAAAGAAATCACCTCCCTGCCGCTCTCTGCATACTTCCCGGCAAACCACTGACTTCCTCCTTGCTCCGCGCCCCCCAGTGCGTCTCTATACTTGGACCTCGCCCAGCCATCTCAGAGGATAAGACCATGTTCTCTCGATGACCATCACACGTTCCTTACTTAGTTTTCTGGTTCAACTCGATTATATCTCACGTTCTTGCACCAGTCAATTGCAATACCACTCCCCAAACCCGGGGGCCCGTCTAGGGCTGCGTCGCTCGCTTCCTCATCTAATATAAAATGGATCTTCAATTTAAATTGGGCCAATGGTCTCAACGGCGCGGTTATCTGCAGCTTGGTCGTTCACAGCTGATGCTACCTCTCTCAACTCTTCTATGGAGTTTTGTTACCATCCCGACGGTCTTAGCAGCTGTTCCACTCCTTTCGAAAGATCCTCGGGCATTGGCACCAGATTCAAGCATCGCGTCTGCTAGCGGGGTAAATGTCCATGATATTTCACTTCGGGGAGATTCTGCCGGACATATACAGCATGCCAGGCGAGAGATTGTTATTGTCGACCCCAGAGATATCGCCGCTCTCTCAATTCTCGTTGCAGACGAGGACTCTGCCATTCCGCAACAAGACAAATCTCACCTCTCAACCCGAGCGTCTTCCGATTCGGACTCTTTCCCAACTGCTTTCGATACTAGCCTCTCGAACAACTTCACAACCACTACGTGCCCCAATTTCTTCAAGTCTTTCCTCTCCAATTCAACCATCACCTCCTGTCATGCCGTCTCCATGCTCCTGCGTGATTCCAGCTCCTTCTTCCATGTTCTCACATCGGCTACGCTGACCTCTGAACTCCTTGACACCGCGTGTGCCTCGAATGTCACCGATTGCGCGTCCATTTTCTCTGCGCTCGCAGTCGAGTTGCTCAAGGAGGATGTTTGCGGCAAGGATCACTCCGCCGGCAACCCCCTGGTCACTAATGCGTACACTGACATGATCACATATGAGCCACTATATCGTGCTACATGTCTTCAATCACCTTCGACCAAGAATTACTGTTTCGTGGATGCGATCAGTAACACCACCAACTCCGCCGATTACGATGTTTATTTCCTCCCTTATGGAAGCACTATCTCCGCCTCCCCCTCGCCAACCTGCAATAAATGCCTTCAAGCTACTCTGGCTCTTTTTGCCACCTGGGCTGAGGTTGACGGCCAGCCCCTTGTCAATTCTTATATCCCTTCTGCTGAGGCTATCAATACTGATTGTGGGGAGAACTTTGCCAATGTCAATATTACTGTCGGCTCCGAGAAGGTTAGCTCAGGCTCTGGCTTGGTTGTCCCATTGCCGCAGTGGTCGACCTGGGGCCTTGTCACGTTTAGCATAGGACTAGCCACCCTGCTGACGTTCTAGGTCGGCACGAAGCAAGTTGAGTGACCTCAGATCTCGCCTCTCTTTGCTCCTTCTTTAGACAAGTTTCCCTTACATCGCGCTCTTCCTTCTTCTGAGCTCCATGTTGTGTGCTTGCTCTTAGTTTCTATTTTCAAGATGCGGTTATGGGTGACGACAGCGATTGCTAGGATTTACACTTTTTCTCGGGTTCCCCTTTTCTTCGTACACTTGCTTCGTACTCGGTTGGTGTGAAACTTGGTCGAAACTCTGTGAACCTTTACTTCTTTGTGTCATATAGCCACGTAATGTTTATATTTAATCTGGAAACTCACTCATAGTCCGTCATTCCGCATTTGGACATAGTTGCAGCAAATACAGACTTTGGGCCTCTTGCGTGGCTCGCAAACTAAGGCACAGTGACAGAAGATGCAAAGGCGAAACACCGACGTTCTAGACAGTTTTAAACTTCGTACTCATCCATGACAAACAGAACTACCACAGCACAAGCCCTATGAGAGTAGTTCTATGCACGGCCAATCTCCACCGTGGGGAAACCAAAGAAAAATGGATCCGATCGACTCTATGGCAACAGCGTTTGCGACGCAGTAAGTCCTAATACTTTCTGCGGATGAACGCCAAAAAACCCAATGCAACTGTTCGGATATTCAAGCTGCGATCTTGACTGGATTGTGGACTTCCTAGATTTAATTTGATAGAGGGAAAAGCAACATCCAAAGGGATATCATCAACCGCCTGCCAATCCATGATTTCCCCGCGGGTCTCCTCATCGGTGCCGGGCCGACTCACCGCCGGGCCTTGTTTGTTTGGGGTGCTTTCCCTTTCTGGGCAGGTTGTTGCATCACTGGGCACTGGGCACTCAGCTCGAGTTACATACCACTTGACCAAACTTGAACTATCTTCTCATTGTTTTACATTCTATCCAGCTGTCACTCACTTTGTATCCAGCCTTAATTGATTCCTTCCCGCGTCCATCCCAGACTGGCTCTCATCCAGTCTGTCAATTCCCCGCCATGGTAGGTGTTAACCCAACGTCCCAGTGTATTCAACACCCGCTTATCGGACACCGACCCAGGTCACCTCCAATGCGCCTTTTCGGCCATCACCATTATCCTTTGGCTCTCCTCGAGCATCTCCCTTCCGCCGTCCATCCACATCCAACTCACCTCCGCAGGCGCGACCCAGTACTCCTGGCAGCTCCCCCGGTCGCGGATACACGCCGGTGGCGTCTCCCAGCAAGCTCAAGGAATCATACACGGTCGCAGATGAGGATGAAGGCCCTTCGATGCCTCATCAAGATCGCAGCCCGGTCGCTCAACCACGCTTGACACGCGAGGTGCCTCTGTCGCCCACGTGGGGGGGCAGCGCCCCAGACACCTCCCCGACAATGATGGCTACCAAGGCCACCCATATAATGGCAGCATCTTCGGATGCTGCCGCTCAGCTCTCGCCGGCGCAGTTGCGAGAAATCCGCGAGGCCTTCCAAGTTCTGGACCGGGACAATGACGGCTTTGTCAACAAGGATGATGTGACTGATGTTCTGGCGAACGTGGGTAAGTGGCACTTAATCATCTTCGTTCATCATAGCATGGCTGACAAGCACCCTTAAATCAAGGCCAAGACGCATCTGCACTTTCGCAATTCTTCCCGCCTGAAGAGGCGTCTACGATCAATTTTCCCACCTTCCTCAATACGCTTTCACAACTGCTCGCCCCGTTATCTGCCCAACGGGAACTCTTGAACGCCCTGGCGGCCTTTGACGAGGATGACAGCGGGCAGATCGACGTGGAGGAGCTGTGCGACGCTCTGATGCATACCGCCCCCGAGGACGGAGATCGGCCGCTCACCGAGCGGGAAATCCGAGACGTGCTGAATGGGTTCACGGGCCGTCGGGCATTCGGGGCCAAGGGCGCACGAAGCACCGGAGGGGGTAAACGTGGGGAGGTCTTCCGGTATCAAGAATTCGTCAGTGGGCTTGTGGGCGGAACAGAGACGAATCAAACCACACGACGCGATGCCTAACGGAGTGATTTAGTTTTGTTATTCTTGTTTTTCCATTTTCTTTTTGGCCCATGGCGTACGGAGACACGAAGCATCAGCTTTGCGACTGAATTGTGGCTCTGGCAGCCATGCAGTTGCAAAGTAGACGACATGATTGTGATCGATGTGCTTGTATTTATTCTGCGTGTAGAGACGAGAGCGAGATTGAGATTGTGATGGAGATGGAGATTGGAGACGGAGGGTCCCCACATCGGCCCGAATTTAGGTTTTCTTTCCTCGAGTCAGGCTGGCACGAGAAGCTGTCAATCAAGGGAGGGGGCAGAGCACGAAGGAGATGATCTTTTAGAGTTGGCATGCGAGGGCCAGCCTTTTCGTGCAATCAACATAATATCAAATTCAATCAATCAGTCAACTAAAAGGTCGATGATGATGGTGGTGGTGGTGGATGGATTGAACTAATGAACAACTAACTCGCAGTAGTGCCAGGAAACTAAAAAGACTAGTCCCAAAGTCGAATTTCGCCAAGTCCAGAATGGAACCTGAACTGGCGGATTATTGATCGCTGATTGAATTGATGGACTGTCAGTAACTTACATGAGTAGTTCAACTATGGAGTAGCTAACTGGAAACTCTCCTCACTACAACTTCTTTGCTGTTTTGTGTTTTTTTTCTTCCCTTTTTTGACTATTCTACTAACTTATTTCCTGCTAAGAAAAATTACTTGCATTCTTTTCTAATAACACCCGGGAGATCCACATCACAACCACCACCACCACCACCATTCACTTACTTACTACCTTCTCTTCAAATTCAACTTCGAATTGAACCTGCATTCTTTCACTCCTTCCCTTTCTTCTCCCTCCACCCTCCTCCCCCTCCATCTCCCCCAGCCTCTCCCTGGTCTGTTCTGTTCTGTCTGACCAGGAAGATGGTTTCATGTGTCGCCTGCACTTCCAATAACAGTCCTTGCTGATCCTCCTCTCCCTCCTCCTCCTCCTGCTGCTCCTCGAACTCCCCGATCGACCTTTCCCCCCCTAATCATGTCGCCTTCGCCTAGCCCTTCCTCCCTCTCTCCTACACGTCCTACCTCCTCTGTACCACCTTTTTCGCCTTCTTCCTCCTCTACTGCGGCCTCCCCCCGACCCACTCAAGCCCAATTGACTCTCGCTGCTTTGGCCAGGTCGCCGTCATCACCCCGGACTATGCGAGGCTTGCGCAAGATCAAGTCCCATCAGATCCTCTCCTCCCATCCTCCTCCACCACCCTCATCCGGACGCCTCTCGGCTGGCGCGGAGGAGCTTCCCGCGCCCGGACCCCAACTCGATTCCCCCGTGCGGCTTCGCAGTACACATCGCCGCGCACGTTCTAATAGTGACGCTTCCTCCCGGGAGCCTCCCATACTCACCGCGCACCGAAGACCCGGTAGAAAGACTGGGTCGGGATTTGGAGTCAAGCGGTCGTTGCTTGAGTCGCTCTTGCGCGACGGTCCGCAAAATGGGAACGTCCGAGAAGGACTAGAGGAGCTGCGTTATCTTGTCCTCTCGACGCGAGTCGAAGCAGACGCAGATGGCATGGTAGGATCTAGCGATAATGATGGGTGACTTGATTACTCAAGTCAACGTTGTAATGGGCATGTCCGCTAATAATTTTCCCCGTGCCTCGCTAGTCTACCTACCGAGTTTATCTCTGGCTCGTTCTCCTCGATACGCCGCCCGTATCGACCGACGAATACCTGTCACTTATCCATCGAGGCCGTTCCCCCGCCTACGCTAAGATTCGCAATGATACTTTCCGCACCCTAGCCACCGATCCCCTTTTCAAACGACGCGTCACAGAAGCCAGTCTGATCCGACTCCTTAATGCTGTTGCGTGGAAGCTTCACGATGCGAAGAGCAAGCGTCGCGCCCGTCCGCGACTCTCGACCGGTCGTCGGCGCGAGATGGAGCTCCTTATCAATACACCCCCAAGCATAGCGGAAGAGCCCTCCCCGATGGGAAGCACTCCCGGGAGTGTGATCAGCAACAGCACCAGCAGCGCTTTTGGTAGTCCTGGCATCACAAATGAGTCCGCTATCTACGTGCAGGGAATGAATGTACTCTGCGCTCCGTTTCTCTATGCCGCCCGCAGTGAAGTGGAGGCTTTCGCCTTGTTCCATTCGTTCATCCTCCGTGAATGTCCGGGCTACATCCGAGGAGCCATGGATGGCGTCCACCGGGGTCTGCGACTTGTCGATCGATGTTTGGAGATCGTCGAGCCCAAATTAGCAGCCTACCTCTTCTCCAAGGGGCTGCAGGCTGAGTTGTATGCATTCCCCTCTGTGTTGACCCTGTGTGCGTGCACGCCGCCCCTACCGGAGGTTCTGCATCTCTGGGACTTCCTATTCGCCTATGGACCACATCTGAACATTCTATGCATCGTTGCGCAATTGATCCGAATGAGGGATATGATTCTCGAGAGTCCAAGGTATGTTTATTGATCATGACCTCTTCATAACATCACATCTTGAGACACCACAACACGAGCGGGAAAAAAGAACTCACCGTAAATCAATGAAACACATCATCTTCCTCTGCCCCCTTACCGGATAAGACCCATCGAACTAATCCAGATCACCCACATGACAGTCCCAACAAAGTCCTCCGCTCCTTTCCTCCTCTCGACGCCAAGGAGATCATAGCCTTGACCGTCTTGCTGGTCCGCAAGATTCCCGAACCGCTCTACGCCGAACTAATCAACCACGCTAAATGAAGCTCCTGCGCTTGCCCGCTTTGCTTATTCGCCTTGCCCCTAGCCAGGCACAACTTAAGATGCTCCCGAATGAGCCCTATCGCGGACTCGAGAATCGATGCATTAGCTGACTCCCGCCTTCTCACCCCTCCTATCCCAACTTCCCCGAGAAACATACGATACCCCTCTCCACCTAACCTAACCTACCTTATCCAAACACATATGATACCTGCTGCCATGAGTTCCAACGAGATGAAACGACCATTTTTGTTTACTTGCTTGTTTGTTTTTCACCAATCTTGCATTTACATCCTGCAAAAGAAGTCGATGGAAGGAATTTCACTTTCCATCTGTACTTTTATCCTTTTCTCTGATAACATTTTTTCCCCGCGCCTCCCTACCTCATCGCTCGTTGCCCCGCCGCCTGCATGTGTGTTTGGTGTGTTTGTTACCCTGTTCCGTATGCAATTGTCATCCGATTACTAAATCGATACTATCCTGTATTTATTGTACTATTCTCGCTTCGATTTTGGTGTTATGTGCGCTTGATGCTCCGCATTTGATATGATTTTGACATGAACTGATTGATTGACTGATTGACTGACTGACTGATTGACTGATGACGAGGCGCGCCTCCTGATGAAACTGTCAACTGGATTGATTGGGGTTTGGTTGGAGTATAACCCTATGATGAAGGGACCATGAAACGATGATTTGTTTTTTTTATTATTGATGATGACGATGATGATTATGATGGTGACATGGAGGAATTTTTCTCTCACATCGCATATGGGATAAATCCTCATGTGATCCTTGTGTTTCCTTCAACTCACTTCCTGATGCTGAGGACAGCCAGGGTTGGGTTGACCCGCAGAATTAGATTTGATAGATGATACGACACATTGTTGAGTGAAACGAGGAAAATAATGCTATTACATATAGATTCAAGGCGTTCCTTGGAATAAGGGAAACCGCTTAGTTGATCCAAACTCGCAGCAACAATGGGTGAGATAAACGTATTTAGATTAGTCTTTTTCTATCGCGCAAACCCCCTATATTCCAAGAAAAATAGTCAAGAGAAAAAACAAATAAAAAAGAGACCATCTCTAAGAAGCAGCCAAAGTCCGAACTCATAACGCCTTGGAGACCCTTCGTCTCTGCCTATCTAAGTTTCTTATACTGATCTACCTGCACCCCATGAAAATAAAAGAAGGGAAACAATACACTGGAAGAACCCCAACATGAAAACAAGAAGGTTACATGCAACAGACATGTGGCGCTCTCCTCCAAGCCGTGGACCAAAATCTACATTGGAGTAAGAAGGGCCGCCAAAGGGAATGGGTCCGTCCCATTCCACTCTTTCAATTGTCTGTCGGATTTCATGGGCACGCGGACAGACAATTCTTTCACGGCTCTAAGACCACGAATGAGAGGTGAATAGGGGGGGATGCTGGCTAGGTAGGACCAAATACCTTGCCTAAGTGAGCGATACTAGGTCGCCACAGCTCTGCGTCCAGTTCCAGACCCGTTGACCACCAGTGGGCCACAGCGGTCGGTCTGTTTTACGGCCGTGGAAGTGGAAGACGATGGGAACGCTGGAGGTGAGGTATCCCTCGAGGTTGCTGGGGCTGTGGCTTCGCTGAGTGATGTATCTTTCGTTGGGGAGCCACGGCGGTGGTCTTTAGAGGTATTTGTCGGGGGTTTGAATTGCATATTGCTTTGGCGGAGGGGGTTGTGATTCCCTATGCTAGTATTGGTGCTAGTTCTGGTGAAATTGACGGGGTCTAGCGGGGCATTTGATGTGTTCTGAAGCATACTCCTGTCGATTTTCACGCGGATCCTGGCCCCCAGGAAGGTGCAGCCGTTGTACAGGGCGATGGTGCGTTTGGCTTCCTCGGCAGTTCGGAAGGTGACCCGCGCGAAGCCTCTGCAGCGTCCAGATTCCGTGTCCAGCGGCACCTCGCATTGCTCGATTGCGACCCCTGAGGCCTGGAAGAGGTCACGCAGTGCCAGGCCACTCGTTGCGGGGCTGAGGTTTTGCACAAAGATAGTACGACGTGGTGAGAAGTGTGCGGGACCCGCGGAGCTGCTGGGCTGGTGATAGGCCTGCGAGGTGAAGTTCAGATTGTCGGAATGGTAGTTTTGAATAGGTTTACGGGGGAAATTGGTTCGTCGTCCGGCTGTGGTGCCAAATCGCGTGCTTATGGGGCCTTCGACGAATGGCTGAACAGCGGGGAATGGGTAGGAGGGGAGGATGGGTATAGCGAAAGCATCTCTGAAATTGTGCCGGAGAGAGGCGGGAGACTGTGGTATAGCACGAATGGCGGGCTGAGTGACTGGGTCGGCGAAAACAGGCAGGAAGGGCTGATGCTGATGAGGTATACTCATGAGGTCAATCACCGGGCCATATTCGGAATTCGGATACGTTGGACTCGTGGAGATGACAGGTCTGTTCGGTGTCAGCCGACAAACCAAGTCGGACTCAGCCTACCCTAGCTATTTTCACTTACTCAGGAGATATTGGGGAAGGAGGAACGGCCATGTTCTGCGTGACCCTCGGCGGCGTCGAATAGCCCGCAATATAATTAGCAGGAATCAAACACGTGGGACTCTTCGTCGGGCCAGCAACCGGGCGTGTAGGCGAGCTGGTCCGAGCTAGTGTCACAACGAGGCTTTGGCCCTCCCAGCCGGTCGTGGATAGCCTCTCTGGAGAAACGCGGTGTCAGTCCATGCACGTTTATTGACCAGTCACCCGGCTTCGATGGCAATGGAGAAGGCTCAAGTACGCACGATATGTTCGCCACGCTTCGTCCTCGTTCTTAACGATGATCTGTCCTAGCCCGGTTGGAAATCCATGCTGGTCATCGTACACTACAGCCTGTCGGATATGTAGGGCTGTTTGGCGGACCAGGTCTTTGAGCTCCTGCCAGCGGCAATGCGCTGGGATCTAGTTCAACGGAGAGATAAGCAAGACACGAAGGCAGCGAGCACGGTCGAGGAACCTACTCCCTGGAGGAACAAGACAAACTCCTCATCCGACCTTCCCTGCTTGGACGTTCGCCCTTTGTCGCGCGAGGACGTTGGTGCAGGCATGTTATCGTGCAGTCGTGGTGATTGGAGCACCGTCACGGCTTCCGATTATACCTAGTAGTTGTATAGATCGATCCGTCGGTACTTGAGGGACCAGTCACACGGGTTTGCTGCGTCCGGTTGGTTCCCAGACAGGCTCCGCGCCAAAGCTCGGAACCCAGCGGGAAAGTGATGATAGAGTTGAACTCTGTTGATCCAGGAGATGGTGATCAGTGATCAGTGATCAGTATCGGGTCAGAAATAACCCAGAGACCTCGCCGTAGAAATAAGTGCTGGAAGGTGCTCAAGGCGGGCCTGCTTACCGTTCTAGGTTCCAGGAAGCTCCGGTCGCACAGATGAACGAGTGAGGTCGGACTGCTTAAGAAGCACTGATCCGCAGCGGGAGGATCCAGCTGAGTGACTGCACCTTCGTCGATTTTAAAGCGATACGAGCAAAGGGCCGGAGGAGGGTCGATCGATTGCCTACATGGAGGGCGTCCCACCACCCAGAGACAGCTGAGACGTTGAGACCGAAACTGACGCAGAAGTAACCAGCTTCGGCGAAATCGAGGTTCGAATGAGACGGTAGATTCAGGAAGGGGGCAGAAAGAGGAAGAGAATCACGCGAAAGATCAAGTAACGTTAGTAGTAGCAGGAGCAGCAGCAGCAGATCGCTAGTGCGAGGGATACCTAAAAATACCATGGACATGGAGATGGGTATGGAGCTCGGAAGTGAGCAAGTCAGATCCGCTCAGCGAGGATAAACGAGAGGCACGGATGCATCCGCTGACGAATGAAGGAAGGGTTATCTTTCTCTGATTGCTGGAAACCAAAGCTGTCTCTTGTACTTCGAAATCGAGAAGTGTGAGTGGATCAGATGCTGAGAGGCTTTGGGGAGAGGGAGAGGAGGTGTGGGCACTGGGAAGGGGAAGAAGATGTGTCAGGTTCAGGAAGGACGAGGGGGGATGATATGTCATGCATGATCGACTGTGGTGGATGGATATATCAAAAAGTAACAAGTAACAAGTAACAAGTAACAAGTCAGGGAGGTCAACACAGAGAGGTAGAAAGCAATGACATGAAGGATTCAGGAAGTGTCAGTGAAAAGTCTGAAACAGAAGGAAATTAAATGGAATAAAATTAAGTTAAGTAAAATCTAATCAAATGGAATAAAGTACAATGGAATGTATTGTTGCTTCCTCCTACAGTTTTCCAATTGTTGTTCTCTGCTTATTACAGTACTTGGCTGTCACATTTACATTTACAATTACACCGCCAGATCCCAGGACAGCCACCGACAGCAGACCGCAGTAGACACCACCAGACACCACCAGACACCAGACAGCACTGCATGGTCTGGTCCTGGCTGATTGCATGGAGAGTCTAAGTAAAAAACGCAAGACGAGAAAGCCATTTTCCAGCCAATAAAGTCTGCGAAACCAGGATGGTCCTCTCGGATCAGACACGAAGGCTCCAGCGCTCAGGAGTCACCATAGACTAGATACCTCAGCGGAGTCAACCTGAAAACTTTTGCTTTTTGCTTTTTTCCCCCCTCTCCATCTTCTTGGTCTAGTTCTCGCCTTCTCCAGACTTGACGCCAATACAGATAACCTCAGCCCCGGCTAAGGTGGAGCTGGTTGTGACAGTGACCAACCTGTCTCATGTCTGATATTTTCCCTCGTCTGGCAGACGAGCACTCGTCCAGTGGCGGTGTTTTTGTGTCATATTAGTTGTCTCGGCTATCTGTTAAGGTATTCCCAAAATAGGGAACTCGAAATTCCATCTACTTGAAGGGCGACAATGGCAAACGGAAGTTATTCGGCGGTCATCATGAGCGAGTCCCTATAGTCAGTGTAAGTCATACAGAAACCAAGACAATTCCCGTGGAAGCGACAAAACACTATCGCAACGATTGGATGAAGGTCACTTTTGACAAGAGGCAGTTGAAATATTCACAGACGTGATGTCCTTGTGGCTGCCGAAGTTGCCCCTGGTCCCAGTCGCCGGGCGATCGAGATCCAACTGCGGTGACCCCTGGTGCATCTGAAGGGTCATATTCCTCAAATCTCCCATTGTCCCAGCCACCCCCAATGCACAGATGCTTCGTCTGCCACCTCCGACTTTCGTCGCTCCGGTCACCGCCGGATACATTCCACGACGGTCGCACTGCAGGGGTCTGGGGCCTGACAGCTCGGGACGGGGTCAGGATACACCAAACGCTCGGGCGGCAGATGCCTGTCTTCGGTCCGTCATCACCGAATTGGAAAGCGGACCTGAGGAGGTGAAACCTCGAGAAGTGGGATCTCAAAGTGTGGAAAGCTGGGCTGCAGTACACACACATACATACAGACACACGCGCGCCCCCAAGTTTGTTAATCAGATTGGTGTGGAGCGATGAAGACCTTGTTGGAGGATGGATTCGGTCACGGTGGTCCTACAACCGACAGGATGAAAATGAAGTAGGCTCATATGAGCTTCGGGGCCGGATTCAGCTCGCAAAGAGAAAGCCAAAATGCCTTGCCATCGACTACGACTCGACTAAACGTCAGCTTGCGCAAAATATCCTTGTAGTCCCAGCCGGTCTCATCATCTTGAGCTCACCAGTCAGGACGGATGATTTAGTCACCAAACGACATGGGAATTCACAGGAATGGAACCAACCCCACTTCCCAAAGGAAGGACCGATAGTTGGAGCGATCGATCGATAGGCAAGATCCGCCCTCAGGCTGCTCTGCTCCACGGTCCCATAGTCTTGGTAAGATCTTCCGCTAGCAGAGCTATCACTCGTCTAGAAAAGACGGGGAAGGCCAGGCAGGCGCTTGTCCGAATGAGGCGGGTTCGCGCGACGTATCATGCATCCTCGAATATCACCAGCCTCGACGATATATTTACGGAGTACAGGTATCCCATAACTGGTGCGATGAGCCGCAGACTGTGCCCAAGGTCAGGCCCTTAACCACGGTCGCATGGACCAAGCTTTCGATGGTGTCACGGTTTCTCCAGTGCTGTATTCTCTCCTCGGGAACCTTCAGATCATGCTTTGAGAATCGCAGCTTCATACAATTGAGACGGCGACTCATGTTGCGCGCACGTGTCCACAGCACTGGGGAGGAATTATTGATGAAGAGCTTTATGGGTCCGTGGAGGATGCATGAGCGATCCGAACTCATATTACCCTTCAGGGATTCTGGGTTCCATGCAAAGGGCGCTCATACTCGTAGAAGAAGTTCTGCCTGCTTTCACAAAGGTAAATGGCAACCGAGGTGAGAGTTTCTCCAAATTGAGGGGGGGAAATAAGTAAAAAAAAAAAAAAAAAGAAAAGAAATAGTTTCAGCAAGACTTGCGACAGTTAGTGCAGTGACAACGTAGATGAGAAGGTAAATTACCGGTCACATGTCCAAGGAAGCTCTGAAAAGAAGCCATCCGTCAAGTGTGACTTTTCCTTTTTGACATGTCCGCGTTCCTGAGCGCACATGGCAGATCATACTTTGAGTCTGTCAATTGTTTATTTAGCACTTCCGCGATGGTTCTACGACCTGGCCTTACCTTAACTATTGATGAGACCATGCTATGAACTAAAGATTGTCACCACCTTCTTAAACTGGACTGGGATCGTCATGAAAGAGACATCCACCTCTCACCCCCTTTTTTTTTGGCCTCTTTTGCAATTGCTTATCCAGGCAAGTGACAGCTTTGCCGGAGTGGAACCATGGAGACAGGCAGGCCGCAGACCAGACAACCGATGAAACCAACCTCCACCCCCAAACCACGGCGTCACTCAACACCGACCCACTGATCAGCGAACAGCGAAATACTCGACTTACCCGACCAAGGTTGACAACCATAGACAACTGCAAAGGGAAGGCAGCTACGGTACTAGGAGTAGCTGTAGGCGGGACTGAGCAAGATAGGAATTTACACTTTTGAATTTCATGGTAGGTTTACTGGTTGACCCTCAACTTAGTAGTCCGCTGCGTCCACCCGGTAGTTAACTACAGTGCATTGAGTTAAGTCATTTTTCTCTGCTTCATTTGCCCGATTTTGACTTTCTAGTGTTTCTGGTCTGGTTGATTTTTCTCCATGTCGGGGGCGGGAAGAAGATGATCTCCCCGAAGAACATCGCATGAACTATTGTTTATCTTGGGTCAATCCCAAACCTTCTTTCTTTTTCCATCAAGGTTGAGATTAACCTTTCCGACTATCTAATGCTGTGTGTGGTACGGGTGATATGTAGCAGTGTCTAGTAGCTACTTCATCTTTCCATTCCAACCGATTTGAACCAATCAGGCATGATAATCACATCATTTCAGTCAACATATTACGTAGATGTGTGCGCGACAAACCAGACTAAGTTTCCCTCTCGGGCTGCAAGGGGGAGGGGGTGAGGAGGGAAGGCGGGGGATCGCTGGAGGCTTTTCTATAGCTCGCTGTCGTTTGTTTTAACTTACTGTCCATTAGATAACTTACAGACTACGGAGTACTCCGTACATCATGGACCATTACCTACCGGGCCGACGACAGAGCGAGAAGGAGGGGCACGACGGGAAGAGGTCCATACCAAGTCACCAACAAGAACAAACGCCTCTTACGCGCCCCCCCTGGCAAGCAAGCACGCCAGCGGGGATTCGCGTTTCGCAACGGTGACCTTGGCAAAGGGGGCCTTGCGAAAGAGGATAATAGTGAAGCTCCAGCTGTTATCCGACTCGAGCCTGCCTAGTCTAGTGGACCTCCACTACTGCGACTAGAATGAAATCAACCAAGCCAGCTCTAGTAAGTCGTGAAAGTGTGATAGGCTGCCAGGACAACAATGTAAACCAAGTCCCAATCTTGCGGAGAGGCTAGTCTTGATTCTCTGTTAGCTTGAGGAGGGGAACTGTAGTCATGAAAAAATCGCGCTGGAGCTAAAATAGACCACCTCAGTTTGATCCATGATGACGATGCAGTGATGGGAAGACACTACCCAAAAAGTAAAAAGCGGGAGGGGAGAAGAGAAGACACACACACACTTATAGAGAGGGACAGCGCTAGTCAGTTTGAGGGGATGGTTGAGTGGGCTCGGGGCATGTGCGGGTGCTGCGGCGGGCGGGGAAGAGCGAAGGGAAGGGGGAAACCACCAAAAAAAAATAATAAAGAGGAAAGGGGAAAGGTTGAGCAGACGCTGAAGATGTCTAAGTATAACCACCTCAAGGCAGTAAAGTGGAAGAACTGTATTTGGTGTGTATCATAGGCATACGCAATGTTAATGTTGATTCAGTCTGAGGTAATTGACCATTGTTTACCTCGCTACCCCATATCGCGGGGTTCAAATTCCGGGGGGAAAGTGCTATTGCAGCTTAGACCTTGTGAGAAGACAATATTAAGACAAGGCCTCAAGCACGAAGCACCTTTGGCATGCAGCTACTATATTGGGACAAGTAGGACGAAGTAGGACGGGTATTTCTCCTGATTACTTTTTGTAGTGGTGGAGTGCTACGCTACGTTTACTGTGGTCAACCGATACAAATGAGATCGGCGCTTGTTAGCACAAGATCAAAACAAATTACGGTCGCTGATGGCAAAATACACGCAAGCGTTCTATTGTAAAGCTGTCGATGTCAATTAATTGGAGAACATTTGTTGAGTTTCACTGGCAGCTTTCCTGCATACATACAAAGGGGGCTATCAACACATGCAAAACAAGACTGGCTAATGTATTCGGTCACAAGAAGTCGTGGCCTGGAACCCTGAAGCTGCGGAATGGAACAAACATAACACATTCTTGGAACGTGGGGATCCAGATGCTACATGCCTGGGCCAAGGGTTACAATGCGCAATACAACAATGCGCAGACATCAGACGCCATTCGATTCCCCATCCTTTGACTTAGGAAGGAACAGATGAAATCTTGTAGATCTTTCCTTCTTCAGATCGAGAGCACAGAGCGAGACTTGTCAAAAGTATCGCTTCCAAAAGATTCCAATTTTCTCAGAAAATCTGCCTTAGTCTTCATGCAGGGGGGGGGGTTCGGGCAAAGCGCGTGAGCAGCAGGCTCTTCCATGTTCTTCGGAAGTATTGATCGTTGAGGCCGCATGGCACCCAGACTGGCCCAGGAAACAGATCGTCAACATTCAGGCTGCACCCATGCAGGTCCAATTCAATGGATTGCGGATATATGATTTGGGTTGAATGGCGGCATTCCCGAGCAGTGCCGTGGAAGCGAGCGTGCGGATAAAGGTAGAGGCACACATTGGAAGACCAGCGATTTCACGTCGGTTTGTGGCCTGGTTCTGATTCGGGTACAAGCGGTTAGAGTAGGTGACGAAAGCACTGTTCATGTTGATGTTGTTTGGTTCATCCGAATTGAAATCACGAGTGTTGGTCCATTGATTCCGTCTTTCAACGAATGAAGCCGACCATGGACGCACACCGGCTGCAGTAGTAGGAGTTCATGCCGAAACGAACCACACCGGGGGATGACTCGTTCTCAAGGCTCATGGAGCGCTGACATCTCGAACAGCGGACAATGTCGAAGTTCATGGAGGTTGGACTTGAACTGGCGGGAGAAGCGACGACCCCTTTAGGAGTTCCGGTGGGTGGGTGTTGTACTCGAACAGAAGACGAACTCATTTTTCTCCGACCGATTGTGGCGGCCCTATGCCGAACAGTTGAGGCGAGAAACTCCGTTGCTCGTGGAACAGTGATTAGAGATGAAGGCGGAAGGGCGGTTATTTAGATGAACTCGAGCGAAGTGGCTGTGCCGGCTGGCGGTCAATTGAACGGGCGGAAAATTGGGGGAAACGATGCGCAGAAGTCGATGGTAGGTAGAATGAGACCACCGGATCAAAGGTCTCTTTCCCCGCGAAATCCTAGGCAGCAGTAATAGACCACAGAGGTGAGGCGAGATAGATTGCAAAGGTAGTTGCGATAGGTAGGTAGGTAGTGGTAGTAAGGGAGGTATAGATGTAAGTAGGTAGTGGCTGTTGGTAACTAGCAAGCAGTTGGTAACTGAGTAGATGGTTGAAGTCGTGGCATAGGTAGGTAGGTATATGAGAGCGACTGGAGTAGTGATCAGAAGATGAAAAAGGAGTTCGGAGCTCAAATTCCAGCTGGGCTGTAGCTGCTGGAAATATCTCTATATGACCAGAAAGCCCAGCGCCAAAAGGAAGGAAGTCCTCAGGGTCAGATCGATCTCCACTTCTTTCGCTCCGTAATTGCACCGGTCTGGTTTAGCGGAAGCAAAATAGTACGTGGTAGTAATTTATAGTGATTGCCTCAGGTAAAACGGTAAAAACCGAAAATCGAATCTCGGAGTAAGGAAAATTAAAATCCAATGATAAGACAGGGGTAGGATGTGCAAATCTGATGAAACCAGGGAGATGACCACCACCACCACCACCACAATAACGATAATAACAACAATAACAATAACAAAATAATGAGGCTAACAACTCAAGACCGTACGCATGAGGAATAAGGCAGCTGATACTCAAAGCAGCTGCACGGAATGTGGGGATCAGGTTTCAGACTTGATGATGATTTTTTCCACTGTGTCAGTCAACCACAGGAGGATAATTTGAAGTGTTGTTGTTCGGGTGAGGCAGCTGCTCGGGTCCTTTTTCAATGCAGCAATCCATGTAGGGATGGATGATGGTGGTGATGGAATGATGTGTTTAATAACTACCTAGTACTAGGTAATCATCAAAGTAACGCTTGCCTGGATGGACCGGAGAAGCGGCAGCCGACTCTCATGACTACTAACTACCTACCTATCAAGTGGTTGGCTGGTTTGTTCTACCGAATAGTAGTACTTCAACTTACTACGTAGGTGTAATTTTGAAATATACAACTAGGCTTAATTTTCCCTTCCCTGTTGGTGGTTCCTGGATGGAGGAACGAACCGGTGATGCGAGTCTTTTCCAGTTCTCTGGAGTGCTTTCCCTGTGGCATCATCACTCACCTCATTCATCATCTATCATCCAGGTTGATTCGATCGTTCCACCACCCCTGTTACTCGGTCGCATCTTGGGCAACCTCCAATTAGGACTTGGTTTCATACTATAAAAACCTTTTGCTTTGCATTATTGTTGACTATGATGATGTTCATAAGTATCTTTGTTTGAACCCCTCCTCCACCCCCTCCCCTCACCCCCCCCCAGTCATAAATTACGACTACTTACGCAGTGTGTCTGATCTTGATCTCAACGGCAGAAAAGCCACAATAACTCACTTGCAGTCAATCGAGGCTTGTTCTAATGTATCAATCTCCCTTCTTCCCCTCCATACCCCTCCCTCCCTATTGTCTGCATTCGTTTTGTTCTGCTGCACCGACACCCAGGGTCGTGTCGTCATGACCAACGTTGAAGGGGGGCGGGAAGTCAAAGGGTGCAAGACGGGGGCGATCACAAGAATGGTATGGTTCAGACTCGGATCTGCCATTCTTTCTCTGCCCTTTCAGGGACTGGACAGCTCGTGGCCTACTTTCTATCAGTGGTTCAACCTATGAGGGAAGTATATCTGACAATCAATCTGTATCGGCTCCCGCCTGCTGGGAGACTCCACCCATTCCGTTCCATTCCTTCCATTCCACCTGCTGCTGCTGCTGTCTTAGTCACGGCAACATAGTCCACAGAAGGGCGACGTACTATTGAAATTATGAACCAGAACCATTAGCCGGGCGGAGCAGGTGGCCCCGCCCGCATTTTGAGACTTAAGAGAAAAGAAAAGAGTCTTTTTCCTTCAATGATAAAAGTGATATTAATACAGTTCAGTGATTTGCTCTGCTCGTCATCGATCAGTGGAACATGAGGTAGTCATCGAAACTCAGGCTCCCGCGCCCAGCCAACCCCGTCGGTCCAACCAGGCGGTAAATCCCGCGCTGATGACTAGTACCTACGACTGATAACCAAGCCTCGAATTCATCGGAATTGTAGATATCAGATGGCATTGCTTCCCATTGGCAGAGGAAGTCTAGTCTCATCATCTCAGCTTCGTCGATTCCGCCATTGCCTTCAGCAGGTCCTCCTAAAATTGGGCCGAGGATTAGTAACAATTCATGTTACTGTGATGATCCCTTCGTGCCTAGTACTAGTTACTGGTACACTTCGGGCCTTGGGCTCGTGCGTAATAGCGGCGGCGGCGTCGTCGTTGCATGCGGTAAGTCGTGAGTTGTGACTCGTGAGTTGTGAGCCGGTCTTTTGGAATGGGACTCCACCTCGAGTGTTTCAGAATGTCCTGTCAGACTCGGATGTGAAGGATGCGGACGATCTTGCTCCAGTCGCCCTGCTCATCGGGTTCCATCATGCGTTGCTGTCAAACCATTATTCTTTTTGAATTTCAACCGCCTTGTATAGAAGGGGGTTGCGTATGATTGAAATTAAGGTCATGGTTTTTAGGCAGGAACCATCCCAGCAGTCCAACCGCAGCACTGCACCAGTATCTCCCTCGTCCAAAATATCATCCCAAATGTTTTTACGTTTTCGTCATCGCTTTTCCCTCTACGGAACCCAATTCCGCTCTTCTCTGCGCCATCATTGTCATCGCTGCTGTATCCCGGGTGCTAGTGGTCGAATGGATTGTGTGCTCCATGCCTTTCCGGAGCCACTAATTCTTATTTTTACCCGGAGTCTTGGGTGCACTCCATTTTCCAACTTTCTCAGAGTGGATTCGGGGGTCTGTCTAGGTAAAAAGCGAGCGTTTTGCTAGGAGGGAGCGAGTTGAGATTCGCTACGGCCTCGCTAAACGACTCAGTGCGGCTACTTTCATTATGGTGGAAGTGGGGAAGAGCAGTAGGAAAGCCAACCGAAAACACGGATGGTTTAGACGCTCCTTCCTTGCAAATGAAGTTCGCAGTTCGCGGTTCGATCGGAGAACAAAGACCAGATACCAATTAGACGTCTTCCTCATGCTCCCCCTAAATCGACGGTGAGGCATTTTGAGTCCTAGTCTCTGCACCCGGCTGCCAACTCTTTTATTCCGGCTTAGCGTCTACGTACTAACTTATCGTTCGCTTGTGAAGCCATTGCCCGTAATGGAACCTTAGCCACTTACAGGAGGCCTTAGGGATATCATCATCCCCCCCTTTCCCTATAATGATGAACACAGCTTTCTCAAAGCAAGACTTACTTACAGTTCTGGTTGCTAACAGCCCCCTACCAAGCTACCTGATCTCAATTATTGTCATTGTGTTGCTTCTTGTCCTACCGACAGATAGGCTAACTCAATTCATCTACTTGAGTATCATTGCGTTGAAACCTGCAGAGCTGCAACACCTACCCTCATTTCCTTATCTGTTGGCTGAATGTCTTTGCTGGGACTCCAATGCAGCCTAAAAATTACATTCGCCTGATAGCAGCACTGCCAGGATTGGGATGATGCGCACATGTCATGGCAATTGTGCGAGGCATGCGCCCGGCTGCAGAATGGTCGCACGCACGCCTTCGAAGCGGTGGCCGATGGTGACACACGGGCATTGACAAATCCCCGGGTCCATTCCCCCCCCCTCCAGAGGCGCTCTACTGGCGCAGGGACTTCAGCCTAACCCGCAACCAACTGACTGAGATCGAGAGTCAATTCGACTAGATCAGTCATCAGATGCGAGGACTAGTTAACTAACTATTATTGACTGAGACTTGATCTCAGCGTCTGCATGATGCCGTAATCGCGCGTGCATGCCTGGGACGCCTTCATCATAGGAGTGGTCAAGTACCAGGATCAAACTATTACTGCCCTATCATTTTTACTGGAGCTGGATGCAGGAGCTAGTTCAAAATCGCTAATTAGGTATCTCAGCAGGGCTTAGTCTACTGATCATGATCAATAGTATGAACCGATAATTCACATTTACAGGTTGTTGTGGTGTGAGGATCATCATTATCGCAAGCCTCTCTAGATCCAGTGGGGAGGGGGAGGGGAAGGGGAGGGGGGGAGGGGCTTGAAGGCTGCACTGCAGTGCTGCAGTGCTGCAGTAGGTGGGCAGACAGAGCGTTACGCTGACATCATTTCACATGCTTGTCAGTTGAGGTATTTCGAGGTGTCTTCATCGCTCGACGCGGATCCCGGCGGCTTTCCCTCAAATCAAGAATTGGTTTCCCTGTGGCGGCTGCCGAGGATGGACAGACAATACGAAGGGGTGGGGGGCAGACAGAGACAAGGGCACAGCAGAAGGACAATAAAGACCACTAACTGTTCCTGCCCAACCTTGTTCCGCACGGCATGTAGAAAAGGAATAAGATGAGGCCGTTCGTTCCGGCCTCTGCTCTTATCGCGAAAGAAGATACTCGACCGACGGTTGGTTGTTGTCTGTTGGTTGGGGGGAGGACCACCTCTAACCTAAGGAGCCTGGAGGAGTATCCATGATGATGGTCTGAATGAATGAATGGTGTTTTCCAATCCTTCCAGTCTTCCTCCCTCCCTGTTCCCTTTGCGAAACCGTTGGATATGGCAACGACGACGTCATGGTTGAATAGAGCGGGAGTAATCATGGCTCGCCTCAGGCTGGCACCTCACCGGCAATTTCTCCTTCTCATCACCATGCGGTAAGGAAACACCAAGAAGGAACACCATTGGAATTGGTTGAATTTTCTATATCTTGCCGAATCTGAATTTCATCGAGTTGATTAACTTCCTGAGTTATTCGTCGGTCCCAATAACTACTCTCAATCTCAAGTCACTTACCTTACTTACTCTATAGTACAGTAGCTCACAGTTTGGTCGTTGTTACTCCCCGCCCGTGTGATTCTCACGTTCCGGCAGGTACGGAGGAGCAAGCAATTCAACAGTTCTCCATCCTTCCTTTGCCCCGCCACCCCGCCCTGAAGCTGTTGACCGAAAACCACCACCTCTCTCTCTTTCTTCTCCTCTGCTCTTACTCACTTC